ATTTTCATTTATTATGAATCATGAGTTACTTCACCTTGTACGATAGTTCAAGTTCAACACATATATCAACTGGATTTAATATCTCTGTGTGTAAATTTAGAATGGAATTATCCATTTCATTAATTTTATAGGAGAATAATCCGTTTATAATTTTTTTTTTACAAATTACACTAAATATGACTGGTCATACACTCTTAATTAAAATATGACCGGTCATACTTAGTGTAGTTTGTAAACAAAAATTTTGTAAACATAATATTTTTCAATTTTATAAGATAACATACATTGATTAATAATCAAAGTTGATATCTTAATTAATATATCTTCGAACTTAATAAAAAAAATTGCAACATGCAATTAGGAGAAAAAGCCATTACTCAATACATGACACTCCCTTAGTCGTGCTCGAGTTTATCATTACAAAACTTTTCAAATTCGTATTGCTTTCCTCTTTCAGTACTAATGCACTACATCGGCATCCACTAAATCTTCCCCACTACTTAAATTCTAAGTCACCCTGTGTTTTCAATGATGATGGTTGCGCCACTTTATATATATATATATATATATACATATATATATATATTTATAAGTTTAAAAAGACTTTTATAATAAAAAAGAGGCGGGGTTGAGTGGCTGTTATTGATACGATCATTATTTTTACAATTTACTACTTCCTGCGCCATATTTGGTTGTTGTTTGACTTTTTGGTGCTAACCCTAAGTATTGGGGAATGAGGTAATCAAAAGCAGTGTTATTAAGCTCTGGTAGGGATATTCATATTAGATCAATAGGTCAATAATTCAATCAATTAAATTAAATTTATGTAAAAATATTTAATAAACATATAAATAGAAATAAAATATCAACTAAAGTATTACGATTTAGTGGTTAGCATATCACAATTTTAAAGAATCGGTCAGATTGGCCTCTCTCCGGTTTTAATAACATAGGTCAAAAGCCAATGTATGTGCGTGTGTGTGTGTTTTTTTTTTTTTTTTCTAAATCTAAATTTTCACTATTAAAGTTTTTAGAAATAACCTATTTTTACCCTGTATGATCTAAGGTACACAGCTTAAGGAGTAATACTCACAAATGCATTATACACATATCATATCACATTTGTATAATGTTTACTATTTAATTACAGTTAATTTTTTTACCAAAAAAATTTTTAACGTTACTTTTATTTTTTAATACCTTCATATTTCAATTATGTCACCTTACAGAAATTGTAAACGATGTATGCGCGACATTATTTCCTATTGAACTATACGTCCATTCTTGGGCAGACCGTGCCCCCACTAATTTCCCGAACTGTATATATGTTTTATATATTTTATTTTTTGGTGATAAAATTGTATATACTTTTATTTCTTACTGTTATCATACTAAATTATCCCATTTTATATTGCACTATTGCCTTTTTTAAGGCCCGTTTATATATATATATATATATATATATATATATATATATATATATTTTGTTGAGTCTTTAGAGGGGCTATCAAAGCCCAATCGAACAAGTAATGAAAAACCAGGTCCAACCCATCTTTATGGATCATTAAACGGCATTAAGTTCCTTTCACCTTTTTTTTTTTGGTTTTTTGTTTTTACATCCCTTTTGATTTTTGATGAATTGTATCTTTCAACTGTAACCTCGCTCAAATCTTAGACCGTGTTCGCAGCATAATATTATTTAGTATATCAATAAAAAAAAGTAGTAGAGGATGAATAATTTATTAAAGAGAAGTAAAGAACATAAGAGAAGATGAAGAAGCAAAAAGAGCCAGAGTTTCCGGACACAAGGATCATGAAGTGTAGTGCGTGTCAAAGTAAAAGTAATTTACTACCTCCTCTTGTATAAATTCATTTCGGACAAAAAATTGCATTGGATTCTTTCTTTTTTTTCGTTTTTTTCCCTCCTCTTGCTCTGTCTCATGTTTCTTGTCCTAGATACCCTGTCTACACATGCGATATTCTTTATTGTTGGCCTTCAATTATATATCATTTGAAGCTTGACATTAATAACCGAGGGAAAAAAAATATTGTTCTATTTGTGAAAAGAAGTGTATAAATAATCTGATAGTTGTTTCTGTTCGACTTAAGAATTGTCACAAGTTGAAAATTGGAGTTATGATCAAAGCATTTTTTTTTTTTTTTTTTTTTTTGTAAATTATGATCAAAGCATTTATTATTTTAACTTCCCATCTTCTATTCTGTTTTATAGTTTGAGTTTGTTTTAGGAGAACACAAGTCTCATGTTGTAAGAAATGTCACATACACAAAATATATGGACCCCATTTTAAAAATAAATAAATAAATAAATATTGACATAAATATTGATATATAAGTAGAAGCGATATGTTATTTCATGTAATATCAGAAAAACATACTCCTTTGTTTTAAACTTTTATCTAAGGGTTCTCAACGCCACGAGTATCATCCACACTAGTATGATTAATGATGCCTTGGTTCTAGACTTTGAGCAGTACACAAAGAGTAAAAATAGAGACATATTATTAGCGGTGTAAATAGGTTAGGCTAGGCTTTAACATAAATAGGTTAAGTCTATGCAAAAAAAATTGGATCGGGTCTGGCCTGTGTAGGCTCCAAATTACAAGTCTGACCTGACCTATATTTAAAAAATAAAAACCTTGAGCCTAGCCTTAATAACCTGTTTAAGCCTATTAAACATTTAACAATTAAAAGAATAATTAAAAAAAATATTATTTTATAATTCAAATTTATTAAAATAATAATTTTATGTATTTTATTTAAAATACATAATATGATATAGGTCGGCCTGTAGGCTTATAGGTCCGATATGTACAAAAAAGTCTATGACCTATTTTCTAAATAGGTTTTTTTTTAAAGTCTAGGTATGTTCTATTTTACTATTTGTAACAAGCTAAGCCTGACCTATTATAGGCTAGGCCGTAGGCCGGCCTAACCCATTTATATCCCTGCATATTACAAACCCCTTACCCTTTTAAAAAAAAAATAAAAATCTTAATCCCCATCTCTGGATTGAATTATAAATTTGTAACAAAAATAAAAAAATAAATTAAAAATACGCGTGCTTAGGTTTAACAAGAAGAATAAGTTTTTTTTTTTATTTTTATAAAAAAAAAAACTCTCTTAAAAATATAAATTATGTCATTTAAGACCCAAACACAGATGAATTAGGTTCTTGAATGCCATAGCAACAAAAATAATGGGAATGAGACACATAGCAGTTTTTGCAAGCAGCTGTCAAGACCAGAGCATTCTTCATGGTTGGATGTATGCTGTTGTTAATTTGACCATACCAAGTTGTCCCTCCCCCCCCCCCCCCCCCCCCCCCCCCCCCCCCCCCCCCCCCCCCCACCCCACACACAAAAAAAAAACCCTTTCTCTCTCTGCAGTTAGTGCGTTATGAGCCTCTCAAGTGGTTAATGTAAGGACACCGGAGTCTAATCCATTTGATATTTTTTTTTATCAACATCCTTCCAACCAAATCGTGGATAACCTTAAAAGAATGACAAAAACAGACGTGAGAGTGTGTAGTCAATAATAATAATAAAAAGAAAAATATAAATATTGTGTGGTAAGAATGAAATTTTTATTATGCGATCCCGTTTTTAATTATATATTATGAGAAGTATATAATTATTTTTTTTTTTTAATAAAACATCTGACCGAACCTATTAAAAAACATAAGGAAAGAAGACTAATGGTCTTTCTAACCTCTCATTATTACACAATCATCTTCTTGCCTTTAGCCTTGCATACATGTCTACACGTGAGATGTTGGGGAAAAGTTTATGTGCAGAATCAGCATATTTAATTAGGTGAATCAAAAATATTTTATATATATATATTTTAAATATTCCAATCTATTCATCGCTTCGCGACTAATCTGATTTGGGACGAATTTTGAAATTAAGATTTTAAACTCTTCTTAAAAATAATATTGAAGAAAAATATTATATTTATCAGTCTAATAAACCTCACATAAAGTTTTTAAAATTCGGTGGACACTATAAATCTTACTCATTAAATTCATAAATTTACTATATACATTATTGAAGTAAGATATTCTTACTACCAATATACTATTATTATAATCACCTTTAAATCCTATTTTTTAGCCACACTTTTTGAAAAATTTCTAAAAAAAAAGAATTTTTTTTTTAATATACTCTCAAAATACATAATTATATCATAATAATAATAAATTGGTAGTAAAAATATTTATTCTTTAATTATAAAAATATCCTACCTCATCGTGATTTACCTAAAGTTTTCTAAGGTGAGGGGCCATTTGCGCCCACCTCACGGATCTCTCCTTTTCTTTATTTACAACAACTGGGGTTGGAGAAATCTTATAGAATCACCCGTATAGCGTTAGGCAAGTCCAACAAAACGGGACCCACGATCTACTTTTACATTGTTTTGATTAAATAACTTTTAGCTACTAAAAAGTTTTATCCAACTTCAAAGATCATGTCTCAATTCTCAAATACCGAGCCTTTTGAATCCTTAACTTAACGCTAAAAAGGAAGAGGATCTTGTTCGAGTGTTTTACTTTTGATAACAAGGAGCGGGAGAATAACCCACTAACTTCACTTTTCTGACAAAACAGCTTAGAAAAGCATATAAGACAAAAAGGTTAAGTCAAAGTGTAAGGAGGGAAAGATTTTCCAAAACAGTGTTAAGCATTAACAGTGTATATTGTAGGGTAGAATTGATTATGGTGAGAAGAGATAAGAGTGTATGAACAGGGAAGTAAAGAAGGTCCAGTACAACTGCATCTGCAAGGCTCAGGGGTTCCTTGGAGTAGCATTAAAGACACTGTTCCAGATCTTCCACACACATCACCAGCACCACCCAAATGACAATTCTTTTTTTCTTTTCTTTTCTTTTTTTCCCTTAAAAATCAATGCAACAAAATGGAAAGAAGCGTTTATAAGAGGAAAGCTGCATTGATGTCTTGATGACTTTTTAGTTGGAAAAACATGGGTGGTTGTTCTGAGCTTCTTCCCATGATCATCATCATTACCCTCTTGATGTTCTTATCATCACAAGGAACTCACATTCTGAGCTTCCACGTTCCTGGCCTTAAGGAGATTCATTTCATGGAGGGGAATGAACAAGAAAATGAAAACCAGATTAAGAAAATCTCAGGACTTGATGAGAATGAAGAGAAGCAAGCTTTGATAGTGGAAAAGTTTAGATCTTTGCTTGGACTCAAGAGTTTCCACACCAAAGTTCCACCATCCAATGGAGATTCTGAGTTTCTCTCCCCATCACCTTCTCCATCACCCAACATTGAAGCTGATTCTCCAGCTCCTTCTCCAGTACTGCACGTGCATCCTCATTCCCATCATCCACGACATCACTCTCATTTGAACCCTCCACTTAACAAAACACACCGTGAAGATGAAGGCAAATCTAAAAGAATACTAGTAGCTGTTCTTGTATCTGTAGGAATTGCTACATTATTTGGTGCTTGTGTGTTAATCTTGGTCTGGAGGAAATTCACAAACCACAAAAAGAAACCCAAAAAGACAATGCCACTCTGTAGCAAGGACGAAGGAACTAGAGGTACTTATCAAAGTTCATCAAACAAGGTGAGTTTAAACTCAGGGGGGTTAGATCTGTTTTATCTTAATGCTTTAGGCGATGATATAGAGCAACACCCTTGCACCTTGAAAAAGACTAGTAAGAATGGTTCAGAATATGAGAATGTTAGCAGTTCTTCCACTAAGGAAATTGTATCTGTTCATGAAGATGTGGAATCAGTAAAAAGTGAACCTGAATCTGATGGAGGTAACTCTTCTTCTAGGGATAAAATTATCCCTGAAGATTGCCATTCATCAGATAATGAAAGCTTTCATTCCATCATTGATTCACAATCAAATACCAGACTTTCAAATGCTTCAGCTGAAAGCCTGAGTGACACAATTTCTTTGTCCACTCAAAATTCAAGTTTATTAGCTAACAAAATTCCTAGTTCTCCTCAAATCTCAAAAATACAATCTCAAAAATCACCATATAGTCCAAAACATGAAGAGCAAGAGATTGAGACATCTATCTCCACTTCCCCTCCACCTCCTCCACCACCTCCTCCCCTGCCAATGCCATTGTTTTCTTTGCATTCTCTTACTTCTTCATCTAGAGTTTCCTCTCACTCTCCACTTTCATTGACATCTCATAATTTATCATCTCCTAGAAATTCAGACACTTTCTCAGGATCAAATCAAAGCCCAGAAAAAGAATCGCTTTCTCCACCTCCACCATCTAACCCTACAAAATCTCCTCCAAGCATTCCCCCACCACCATGCCCACCTCCATTTCTAAAAGCCAATATCAACAATGCCAAAACCCCACCTCCTCCACCATCTCTAATCCCTCAATTTACCACACTAGGTAAAGATGGTGCACCTCTGCCAAAACTTAAACCACTTCACTGGGACAAAGTAAGAGCTGCACCAAATCGCACAATGGTTTGGGATAAGCTACGATCAAGCTCATTCGAGTAAGTTCAAACCTCATTAGTATTAGCAATATTTTTTTCACTTTCTTTTTTATATTTTTTTCTATCCCAGTTTAAGCACATTATGAATTTTGATCAGGTTGGATGAGGAAATGATCGAGTCACTTTTTGGCTACAATTTACAAAATTCAATTAAGAATGACGAGACAAAGAACAAAACCCCGTCTCCAAGCAAGCATGTACTTGACCCAAAACGGTTGCAGAACATTACAATACTCTCAAAAGCTCTGAATGCGACAGCTGAGCATGTATGCGAAGCCCTAATACAAGGTAAAAGCTCTTCAATTGTGAACATTTGTTGAGAAAAAAAAAAGTCCTCTCTTCCAAACTTTATCATATATACAAGGTGGAAATAATACAAAATGATAACTGTCCTATACTCATGAGACAAAGTATCTAATCACTCAAAAGTAATAATGTAACAATCATTTCTGCTTTGACTTTTGACTAAGTAAAATTGCACACCGACTTTTACTTATAGCGTGAGAGGATGCATGTGCATTTATACCATATGCTGAAGACAATTGAATGATCAAATTAATGTTGTCAAGGGTCTTATTAAATAGTTTTGAAAACCAGGGAAGGGCTTGTCTTTGCAACAACTAGAGGCATTAGCGAAGATGATACCCACCAAGGAAGAAGAAGCTAAGCTTTTCAATTATAAAGGCAACATTAATGAATTGGGGTCCGCAGAAAAGTTTGTGAGGGCAATGCTTGGCGTGCCATTTGCCTTTGAACGAGTAGAAGGCATGCTTTATAGAGAGACTTTTGATGATGAAGTTGTTCACCTCAGGAACTCATTTTCAATGCTTGAGGTTGCCACCAAACCAAAACCTTTTTAAACCTTTGAAAATAATGATAATAATTGATTTTTTTTTTTGTTGAATTCTCTCACATTGTCTTATGGCCCCACCAGGAAGCATGCAAGGAACTAAGATCAAGCAGGCTCTTCTCGAAATTACTAGAAACAGTGTTAAAAACAGGAAACCGTATGAATGTTGGAACAATCAGAGGAGGTGCTAGAGCATTCAAACTCGATGCCCTTCTCAAACTTGCAGATGTCAAGGGAACTGATGGGAAAACTACCTTACTACATTTTGTTGTTCAAGAGATTGTTCGTTCAGAAGGGATCAAAGTTTCAGATAGCATTATGGGGAAAATAAGCCAGAAAAGTAAGAACAGAACGGAGGAAGAGAAGGAAGAAGATTATAGAAGGATGGGACTAGAACTAGTTTCTGGTCTTAGCACTGAATTATACAATGTAAAGAAGACAGCTACAATTGACTTGGATGTTCTTGCAAACTCTGTGTCAAACCTTTCAGATGGAATGGCTAAGCTACAACATCTAGTAGACAAGGAGTTGCATAAGGATGAAAGATGCATGAACTTTGTAAACTCGATCAAGTGCTTCCTAAACTATGCAGATAGAAACCTGAAGGAGTTGCAAGGGGATGAAGATAGTGTTCTAGCACGTGTGAAAGAGATTACAGAATATTTTCATGGGGATGTGAGCAAAGAAGATGCTAACCCACTTAGAATATTTGTTATAGTGAGAGATTTTCTGGGCATGTTAGATAATGTGTGTAAAGAGCTTAGAAGGTCTAAAGCTACCCGCAGCCCAAACCCTCTTGCTCCTTTCAGATAGATTAGACTTAAGACTAAGACTATCTTGTGTGTTCATAGAAATTGAATTTTTCAAACAGCTTTGAGTGTAACTTTATTTCGATTTTTATTGAGTTTTGGAATCTTTTGAACTTTCTTCCCTAATCACATGGAATTTTGATTAGGACTTTTCTCCTTGTTCTCAAGGAGTGATTAAGACCTTTTTGAGTGTTAGTGGACCACTCTTTTTTTTTTTTTTTTTTTTGATAACAAGTGGACCACTCTTTAAAGCTTTGAAAAATTGTTATCCTATTTTTTTTTTTTGCTACAAAATATGTTGTACACATTTCTTTTATGAATAAATAAAAAATTTCGATCATATTTTTTTTTTTGAGTAAACACCCTTTTTAGTCCTCTGTCAATATCTATGAAGTCCTTTTTAGTCCCTGACAATAAAAAAGGATCAAATTGGTTCCTGAAATTACAAAAAAGGGCCATGTTAGTCCTTATGTCAACTCCCAAATATGTAGAGTGGCCCTTTTCTTGTACTTTCAGGGACCAATTCGGTCCTTTTTTTATTGCCAGGGACTGAAAAGGACTTCGTAGATATTGTCAGAGACTAAAAAGGGTGTTTACTCTTTTTTTTTTGTCATTTGTGAAAATATAAAAATATTCTGTAGTAAGAATACAAATAACTGGAACACTAACCTTTTCTTTTTCTTTATTTCACTTGGTTATGTAAATAACAATGGATTTGTTTACAATTAAGTTATTTGAATCAATCAATATAATATAACAAGGGTTGTGTGATTTGTAAGTATTGTTATCCTTTTTGTGACGTTAAAATTGGATAATATCTCTTTTTCCCGAAACTTTTTTCTTCGAGTTATCATGTTAGATGTAAGAATTTTTTTATTTATACACCGATTCATATTATTCCATTAATCCGTTTCAAGTTCTGCACAACCTATTACAGGAACCAATCTTTCACTATTATTGTATTTTTTTTTGACAAAATTATTTCTCTTGTATCAAGAGATAAAATTATTTTCAGCAACTCAAAATAATATCATTTTAAGATTTAGAAAAAGAAAGATAGGATAATTTGAAAATTTTACTTATTTTTCATATTATAAATTTTATAAAAATATTTTATATTTTTTTCTCAAATCCCAAAATAATGTCATTTTTAACTTATAGGCCGTTAATTTTATGTACAGGAGAAAAGTTAATATCTATTTTTCTTCTCCATTTTATGGGTTCACACCTTCAATTGTATAATTTTTATAATTCATGCATTATCTAGGTTATGCTAGGTAAGACTTCAACTTAAATAGGTCAGGTCAGTGTAAAATAATTTAGGTTTGACCTGATTTGTTAGTCTTGCGTAGGTCCAAATTATAAGTCTGTTCTGACTTATATTTCAAAACAAAATCTTTGACTTAGCCTGTTTAAGCTTATTAAATATTCAATAATTAAAAAAAGTAATTATATTAATATTTTATTATTATTCAAAATCATTAAAATAATATAATATAGGCCGACCACTAGCTTATAGGTCCGGTATGAAAAAGAGAGCCACCTGTTTTCTAAATAATTTTTTTTTAAGGCTGAATTTATTCTATTTAATTATATGTAATAGACAAGTCGAATCTGACGTGATATTAGTCGGGCCTTAAGCCCCAAGCGGGTCCATTTACACTTCTAATAGGTCAGACGGCGTCGTTTATAGGTGGCTTTTTCCTGAACTGTTAAATTGACAAAAAACTTATATTGTTTTCCCTCCTCAAGAAAATTTGGCGGGATTGATTCTGACCCTCTCTCTCATAATTCTATTCCAGTTTTGATTTTTTTCCCCCTCATTCCCCAAAACAAAAGGGTATCTTTCTTATTTCCAATTCATGATATCGGCATTGTACTAAGTCTCTGGGATTTTTTGTTTGACCTAGGAGCGCAATGGATGATGCCAACAGCAACAACAACATATCTTCCGACCAAGTCATTGCAGAAATGGTCGAAAGGGGTTTCGAGTATTCCAATATTCTGGAAGCCATAAAAGTAAAGGGTCCATCTATTACCAGCGCTGAGGAGCATATCTTGAATAGAACTAGCTCTGAAGCAGAAACATCCACTACCCACATTTCCAAAATTCTTGCACATAATGGGAAGCCTCTCAAAAAACGAGCTTTGCCCTTGTCCCGTCAAGTTCGAAAATCGAAGAGACTCAAGCATTTCCAATCCACTGATAAAATCACAATGAACAAAGATTTGGATATTGAATCTGATTGGGAGCAAAGAGCTAGCAACCTCTTGCAAAAGCATTTTGGTTTTTCATCCTTGAAAAATTTCCAGAAGGAAGCTCTTGCTGCTTGGGTTGCTCATAGAGACTGTCTTGTTCTGGCTGCAACAGGATCTGGTTTTGTTCTTTATCTTCTAACTGTTTGTGCCTTCCGTGTGTAGCTATTGTGTTTTTATTCATAATTACGTTTTGGCAGGGAAATCTCTGTGCTTTCAGATTCCTGCTTTATTAACTGGGAAAGTGGTGGTAGTGATTTCTCCCTTAATAAGCCTGATGAATGACCAATGCTTAAAGCTAGCAAGACATGGAGTCAGTGCTTGCTTTCTTGGGTCTGGGCAACTTGACGATACTGTTGAACTGAAAGCAATGAGAGGCATGTATAGTGTAATATATGTTTGCCCAGAGACAGTCCTAAGGTTTGGTTAGGGGGCCTTGAAGCTCATTGTGTTTCTTAGAAGTTTTCATCATTTTTGTTCTTCTCATGTAGTCATGTTTTTGTAACCTTAATATGATCCTATGTAGATTGATTGAACCACTGCAGAAGCTTGCAGAAAGTCGTGGCATTGCTTTATTCGCAATTGATGAGGCACATTGTGTTTCCAAATGGGGTCATGATTTCCGTCCAAACTACAGGTCTGTTTTATTCCTTTTATTTACTCATTGTTTATGGCTATTGGAAATGAACTGGATCAGTTAGTGTATGATCTTGACTTTTGGTTTGTTTATTTAAGAAATGAAGATCATTGTTGGTTGATTTGATTGATTATCGCTCATATTTCTTTTAGACTTTGTTTTGTGCGTACCACAATTTCTCAAATGACTTTATTCTACTATTATAAGTATGACCTGCTTTTAAATTTCTTCTCTTGTTTCAGCCGACTGTCTGTCCTGAGGGAAAATTTCAGTACTAGCAAGCTAAAATCCCTGAAATTTGATATACCTCTGATGGCCTTGACAGCTACAGCTACAAACACAGTTCGAGAAGACATTTTAAAATCACTATGCATGTCAAAAGAAACAAATGTTGTTCTTACATCATTTTTTCGATCTAATTTACGCTTCATGGTTAGTTTGTTGATTATAACTCATACTTATCTCTGACCATTCCTTCTTCTTGTTACTCAAGATTCATTTTGGCTTCGTACAGGTAAAGCATAGTGGAACATCACCGGCTTCTTATGAGAAAGATTTTCATGAATTGATTAAAGTATACGGTAGAAAGAAAAATATTGATGGAAATGATTTTATAAATGCAGTTGCCTGTGATGAATTTTGTGTACAACCTCCTGCCCAGGAATGGGTATTATCCGAGACAATTGATCTACCTAAGAAACCAGAAGGGACACTCAAAATGCTTAAAGAGCCTTTGGAACAAGGACCAACAATTATATATGTACCCACCAGAAACGAAACGCTGATAATTGCAAAGTATCTAAGCAAGTTTGGTGTAAAGGCTGCTGCTTATAATGCAGGGGTAAGGGTTATAAATAATACTCAATCTTCTTAAATTAGATGGACATTTAAATTTGAAATGGATTAAATTTTATCAGGTTGATCATGTCAATTGACAAGAGAATTTATCAATTCTAAGACCCCATGAAGTACTAGCTAGCAGAAGAATCTAAATTTTACTTGTTATTTTTCTTTCTGTTTTACTTTATATTCGGGCATGCTCTACTGTGGATTTCATTGAACCAAGCTCGATAGTTACTTTTGCATTATTATCTAAGAAATGTTTGCTGCACATTCCCCTTTCACCATTTGAATTATGCTGATTGTTGGGTTTTAAACTAATTTATGAGCTCAATTTCTTTCTCCAGCTGCCCCAATTGGATCTAAGAAGAATTCATAAAGAGTTTCATGAAAATACTTTAGAGGTACGGATCTGGAGCCCAAGCAGAATATCATAGACGTCTCAGTTCGATATTTTCCAACGCGACTATTTTTTTTTTTTTTTCGTTTCAATGAGGGACTGATATTTTATATTTGAATTGAGGTGGCCAGTTATCATTTATGGTATGTCATCATTTAATAATGAAATTTTATGTGCTAGATAGATTCAGCCATAAAGTTATACGTATTATTCATTGTGATGGGCTTGAAAGTGGTGAGTAAGTTAGTTAGGAAATTGTTCCAGAATATTATTAGGGGAGGGGATAAAAGGAGGGGGAATTTGTGAAGAGGGGTTACGAAGGAATTCAATATTGGTTTAGTGGGGAATTTGGGATCTCTTAGAGCCTAGGTTTGTTGGTACTAAGGGTGAGACTGGGAAGTCCTTTTACTTGTATTTTTCTCTGTTATTTCTACTGTTGTTCACAGGATATCACTCCTGTTGGTGAGTATTCCTGTAGTTTGCATCTTTTCCTTGTCTTGGAACAATCTCGTAGGAGTTTATCTCCAATCTTTCATATCTATATAATACTGGTACCATCACATTGCACCTTTTTATATCTGTGGTGTGCTTTTCGCATAACTGTTATTATGAATATCCAGGATAACCTGCATGGAACTCTAATCATTAAAAAAGAACTGAGTAATTCTCATTTCTGAGCGGGCGCGCCCCAACAAAAAAAAAAACATGTTTGTTTAGTTATTTTTCCAACTTTGGGTGTTTGAAACCTTACCCAACCTGTTATACATCTAATCATGGCTTTATCTTTGTAATTGTTGTCATTACTGCTTAATTTCTTATATTATCTACCCCGAAATAAAAAATTGAGTCAAATTTCTTAAAGGTTGGTGATTTTAACACATGGCTCTGAATTGTTTTTTATCCTTGTTTATTCCTATGTTACCTATGAGTTTAGTACATAGTTTCAACTATTTCCTTCGTTCGAGAGCTATAAAAAAGTTTGTCTGATAACTTGTATATTCGTGTTTTATCATTTTTCAGGTAGTTGTTGCAACAATAGCATTTGGAATGGGAATTGACAAATCGAATGTCAGAAGAATCATTCACTATGGTTGGCCACAGGTCTGTTTTTCAAACACATTTTTCCTGACATAGTTAATTAGAATTGAAGCATCAGTATTTTCTTGTGCATTCCATATTCGATTCTTTCACTCCCTGAATTGTCAATTCTTTTGGAGATATCTCAAATAATCAAATATGTAATTTGATCAGAGTTTGGAAGCCTACTACCAAGAAGCTGGTCGGGCTGGTCGAGATGGGAAACTAGCAGATTGCAGTAAGTTTAATTACACCCAAACCACAATATAATTTTTATTTTTTACCTTGTGATGCATTTTTCCTTTGTTCTTCTTTCAGTTTTCTGTTGGATTTTAAACTCATGTTACCCCGTTGATGCACATTAGTAGGTTTCTTGTTTAATTCTTTTGCACCGTTTATATGTTATATTTGCCTCCTTTTCATAATCAGTTCTGTATGCAAACCTAGCGAGCATACCATTTCTTTTGCCAAGTCGTAGAAGTGAAGATCAGACAAAACAAGCATATATCATGTTGTCTGATTGTTTCAGGTTTGCTTCGGTGAATAAATCTTTATTTGTCTTTTTTTAGTACAGAATTCTAATGCATATTTGCAGATATGGAATGAATACTTCATGTTGTCGAGCAAAGACCCTTGTGGAGTACTTTGGAGAGGATTTCAGTAATCAGAAATGTCTCTTGTATGTAAAGTTTGGTTTCAATTCCTTTGCTGTTTTATTATATTTTAGCATCAATTGAAGTGAATTTTTTTTACTAAATTAGGATAAGCTTGAGATCTTGTATGTCTTTCTATTTCAACCAATAGCTGGTATTGAGTTACCTTGTTTATTGCATGAGCATATTCGCTTCCTTTTGTAATCAAGGGATTATCCTGTGGCTGTAATTTCTGGTGGTATGTTAATTTTTTTGAGTAATTAATTAATGCATGTTAGCCATCATTTTGTCACTTTTTGATGAACCTCCTTTCATGCAGATGTGATGTGTGCATTAATGGACCACCTGAAAGGCAGAATCTGAAAGAGGAGGCCTGTAATTTACTGCAAACTATAGGTGCCCATAATGTACGTCGAATAGTTTCAATATATACCAAATTCACTTGCAAATAATTCTGTCTTACATGCGATTTTATATCAAAATATTGGTGAGAGAGGTTATACTTACAAATCACAGCTTCTTTTCTTTTACAATCTCTTATAACCACTTTTATGATTGTTGGATTAAAATCAAATGAACGGCTTTCATTTAATGTCATATTGTAATTGTCGATTTGTTTTTATCCAACAACCATAAAAGTGGTTGTAAGGGAAAAAAATATTGTAAGTATAACCTCTCTCAATATTGACTCTTGGATGTTTGCAGCATGTTTTTCAAACATATGTACCTCATCCTCCACCATGGGTATTTTGTGCGTCTATTTGTCTGGGTTAAGATTCAATAGGATAAATTGGTTAAAAGAATGCTTTATTTTTGGAGTTTCTGGATCTACTTCAGCTGTAGAGCTCAGGTTCTGTGGAACCTTGACCTTTGGCTCCAAAGCTTGATAATATGAAATTGTCATGGTCTACAGATTGGTGTAGTTTTTATATTCCATAAGAGGAAAAAAGCTAATGCAACGTGGATGCTAATTTTTCAGGCATGTAGGTTTTCCATGGATTGCTCATCTGTTGATGATATACATTTCAACTCCAAAGATGGAAGACTAAGAGAAAGGCCAGGTCTTAAGATGTTAGTTGGAAAGATACGGGATCAGGTGAACATAATTGTCATCTCGCACTGTGTTTTATGTTGGATGTTCTGTTTTGTTAATTCATGTAACAAAAGTTTTAATTGTTTTCATATGATGGGCATATGCAGTTTGAAAAGTTTTTAACCACTGATATATTATGGTGGAGAGGTCTTGCTCGAATTTTGGAAGTTAAAGGATACATCAGGGAGGGAGATGACAAGGTATAATAACTACTTGCTTAAACGAGAAATAACCTATGGTTCTATATTTATATTACAAAAGCCTGTTCATAAATTTTACGGTTGAAAGTGTTGGATTTGTTGCCTCTGAAAATTAAGAAACGATATGCATACACTTGAGCAGTGTGATCCTACAAGGAGGTAATTTAACATATTGATCTAAACCACACCGCATTGAAAACTCTTTTTAAGGTGTTTTGAATTTATGGACTGATCAGAAAGATATTTCAGTATTCAAGTGGAAGTGTGCCACTTGTATGTTTCTAAAACATTCTCCAAAGTCCTAAGCTCCAAGCAAAAGTATGGTGTGCCTGTCTTACCGTGCATGTGCTATCTTATCTGCATGTATGCAGTCTAATGCCGTGAGTGTGCTTTGGTAATTTGACTGCAATTTGATCTCAAGCTTTACTATACAATTGCAGACCCATGTTCAGATAAAATACCCGGAGCCAACAGAATTGGGATTGAAATTTGTGAAGTCCATGAGGGAGCAAGCTTTCTATGTTTACCCTGAGGCAGATATGTTGCTTGCAAGTAAAACTAGCAAATCTATGTTCTCAGAATGGGGAGATGGTTTGGCTGATCCTGAGATCCGTCGCCAGCGCCCGGAAAGAATGCAAGTCAATAGAAAGCCAAGGATGCTGCAAAGCCCCAAAAAGCAACAAAAGAGAAAAGCTAAGAAAGTGCAACCTGATTTGACGACTCCTCGAGGTAGATTGGCTGCAAAACTCTCAAAATATAAGTGATATGTAAAGGTCATCTTATCTAGTTATTAAAAGATGCGATTTACTCATTGGCACCTAGAAGTGAATTCATCCATCATCATCCATGAAGATGTGCAGTTAGATGAGCATTTATCTTTTGCAGGGCAACCAGTTGACATAGTAGATAGACAAGTAAAGCGATTGCGTTCTAAGGATATGGTTTCAGTGAAGGTTGTTTGGCGAGGACCGTCAGAGACAACTTGGGAGCCTGAAGATACAATGCGTGAGAAGTACCCTGACTTGTTTCATACACAAGGTTAGTAAAAGACTATATTCGAGGACAAATATTTATTTAAGGCGGTGACAATGAAACGCACCGTTTATTTTTAAAATGGGGACAAATTGGTCATTAAAAAAATAACCTATGTATTAAAAATTAAAAGGGGTCATGGAAGAACCCCATTTTTCTTCTCCTCTTACCCTATTCAACATTCTTTCTTCTTCTCCATACTTGCTTCTTCTCCCACACACAAAGAAAAATTTCGAGCATCCTTTTGAGAATTTGATAGATCTTTAAACTCCTACCTATTCCTTTCTCTTGGAGGTAGATTCTTTGGGGCGATTGTCAGGCGGGTTCAGGGGTAAGTTCGTGGCGGGAAATCACCGTCAATGGGCTAAGCTAGACAAATACATCATATCAAGTGGATCCGACATCACGTCTCAACCTAAAATCTCAAGGCATTGTGTTTATGAGCCCTTCCACTTATATACTTTTCACTTAACCCATTATCAACCAATGTGGGACTCATCAACTTCAATATCTCAACAATCTCTCCCTCAAGTGTGAAACCCAACATTGATATGCTCCTCCTCAACCGAGTACCTAGGCCCAAGGTACTCCATCTGCCTCCTAGCCAAACACCTGACTAACTCGAGCACAACTCGGCTCTGATACCAGTGTCAGGCGGGTCCAGGGAAAGCCTGTGGCGGGAGACCACCACCAATGGGCTAAGCTAAACCAGTCATATCAAGTGAGTCCGACACCACATCTCAATCCAAAACCTTAAGACATTGGGTTTATGGGTCCTTCCACTTATATACTTTTCACTTAACCCATTACCAACCAATGTGGGACTCATCATACTTGAATATCTCAACAATCTCCCTCTCAAGTGTGAAACCCAACATTGATATGCTCCCTCTCAACCGAGTACCTAGGCCCAAAGTACTCCATCCACCTCCTAGCCAAACACCTGGCTAGCTTGAGCACAACCCGACTCTGATACCACTGTCAGGAGGGTCCAGGGAAAGCCTGTGGCGGGAGACTACCACCAATGGGCTAAGCTAAACTAGCTATATCAAGTGAGTCCCACACCACATCTCAACCCAAAACCTTATCCCTTAAGGTTTTGGGTTGAGATGTGGTGTCGGACCCACTTGGTGTATTTGATCCACTTAGCTCATTGGTGGTGGCCTCCCGCCACGGGCTTCCCCTGAACCCACTTGAGAGTGACCTTTAGAGTTGAGAAAGGTGCTTGAAGGAGAAAGGGAGCAACCCATATCTCAAGATTTGATTTTTCTGACTCTTTCAGATAAATCCATTATCTAAAGCTTTGAAAAAATCTATAAATTTGTATGAGTTTGCTTAATGTAGTTGTATTCTTGAGCTTTGAGACTAAATTTAGGGTTTTTATCTATCTCTTTATTATCTATTGTTATTTTACTCTTAAATAATTTGTAAGACATTGTTAAAATATTTGTGATGCTCATATTTGGCTAAAACATAGTTACTTACCCAGAATATAAAAGTACTTTAGTTGGTTCCTTAGAGCCATGAGTATCTTTCAAGTTTTATTGTATTATTATTGTTTAATATCAAATGCATAGAGATAAAAGTGTTGTTAATGTTGATTAAATGTGTGGGGAAACAAATATTTTAAAATCTGAATTGTGCATTTTGAAATACCAAATATGGATTTTTATACAATGGCATTATATTTTTGATTTTTGACATTTGTAATTATTTTATAAATTTTGGATATGAATTTTATTAGGAAGTATTTAATTCAAAATGTTGAGATTTCAGAATTTGTATTTATCATTGGAAATGAATTTATCTGAGGTGAAGGGTGCTTTGTTAAAATATTTTTTAAATATTTTTTTTTGGGATCCATGTTAGAATCCCATAGTCATTAGCAAGGGTAACAATCTAGGTGCACCTAATTGTATATAGATATTTATTCCGAGAGAAGAGAGCTATCCATTAGATAAAGCTGCCTCGAGAGAGGCCGTCTTTTAGAGGAGAGGGCTATCAACGAGATGAAGCCGCCCTGATGGTATGATTTGATAAAGGAAATAGCTGCTTGTTATACGGAGTCAGCCTAAGGAAAAGGTCACCCTTAAAAGGAGAGGACTATCAACGAGGTGGAGCTGCCATTGCTTGATTCTGTCATGTGTGATTCTCATTATATTGAACTTATGATTTATTACATCGTTCTAAATTTTCTTGATTTTTTATTCACATATCTACGTTGTTGATTTTGTTTATATTATTTTCTTTCATTGTTTGAATATGTTTATGGCTAAGCTGTTAAAAAGGATAAAACAATCGTGCATATTTTGTTTTTCCTTTCTATTCATTGTAATTATTGTGCCCTCATTGAGTTTGTGTGACTCTTATTTTTATTTTTCATGCAGATCACCAGGTAGCTGAGTAGCAAGCTGCTAGAAGTTGTAGATCTTTTCATAGCATATTTTTATATCCCTCGTTTTTGGATTGGATGTCTTTGCTTTGTCTATTTTGGAACTCCGAGCATTCTGCAGCTATTAGGAATCTATTAGCTACATTTTTTAGAATTCGTTAGGTTATAAATTCTAGATTATATATTTTGTTATTATTTATTGTTCGGTGGTAATAATTACATTGTATATGAGGTGTAAAGAGCTTAGAATATTTGTTTTAGTGAGAGATTTTATGGGCATGTTAGAAAATGTGTATAAAGAGCTAAGGTAACCGAAACCCTCTTGCTCCTTTCCGATAAAGAGCTTAAAATGTGTATTAAGAATAAGGCATGTTTGGTGCATAGTATAGTATAAGGTTTGATAGTGTAAGATCTGATAGTATAAGGTTTGATTGTAGAAGATCTGATTGAATTGTAATACTATCTAGAGTTTGGCACGGTATTGTATAAAATAATATATTGTATAAGATAATATCATTTATTATTTGATAATGCACTTTATAATACTAGATATGATAAAAATAAATATTTTTAATAAAAATATCCTTTAATAAAGAATTTATATAATTCTTCAAAAAATATCATATGATATTAATTTTTATAAAAATTTATTGATCAATATGTCTAAAATATAAACTAATTTTTATAAATATAAAAATATTCAATATTATAAAAATTAATTTTTATTTTAATAGATTAATATTAAAATAATATTAATTTTTGAGAATTACATTGGTCAACGATGTTAATACATTAATCTCTTATCAGGCTTTATCCTTCACCTTTAGCTGCATTAAGTTATACATCGTTTTGATGTATTAAGAGATTATGCTGTATAAGTTTATACTATACGATGGTCACACCAAACAACTAAAAATGTCATAACGTATAGTATAAGCTTATACTATTATGCCTTATATGTCACACCAAACAGGCCCTAAAACTATCTCGTGTGTTTGTAGAAATTAAAATTTTCAAACAGTTTGAGTGTAACTTTACGATTACAACTTCTTAAAGAATAATTTTAATGCAAAATTTTAAGGTATTGGATGAAATTTTTTTTAATAGTTTATATTATTTTTTAACATATCTTAGACAAAAGTTCTTTAGGCTTGAAATATGATTATTGTACATGTTTAATTTTTTTTTGTTTTCTTTGTGCTTATTTTAAATCCACAAGTTGGGGGCAAAAGATTGAACTTATGATCTTATGGTCACTTAAGTTTAAGGCATTGAGTGAAGACCTTTTTTAATAATTTATATTATTTTCTAATATTTTTCTTCACGTAAGAGCTCTTTGAGCTTGAAACGTAGATATTGTATAGACCCATTTTTTTTTTTAGCTTATGTTTATTTAATTCTATAAGTGCTCGGGGGTGAGATTGAACTCGTGACCTTATGGTCACTGAAGCTTTGATACCATATAAAGAATTATTTCAATCCGAAACTTTAAGGTGTTGGATGAAGACCTATTTAATGATTTATAATATTCTCTAACACTTACAATCTCTTACAACTAAATTTTAATTGTTGATTTACGTAAATCTAACAGTTATAATTTATTGCGTCATATTTTTAATTAATTATTAATTTTTTAAAAATTATATATGTCAAATTGATAAAAATTAACGGTTAAAATTTAATTATAAGAAGTTATAAATGAAGAGAATGTGTAAATATAATTTTTCTATATGTTTATTTCCATTTTTATTGTTCCCTAATCACATGGAAACTTTGATCGCGAATTTTCTCCTTGTTCTCAAGGAGTGATTAAGACCTTTTTGTGTACCGGTGGATCCAAAGTAGTTAAAATAGAGATTTTAAATCGGAAAGAGATACTTGGATGAGATACTTTTTCCTTTTTTTATGATTGAGTTTTATAAGAGTTATGTTGTAGGAAAAATGATCGTGTAATGTTATAAAGATTTATTTTGCGTGCCATAGTTTTTTTTTCTTCAAAAAGTGTGTGCCCCACAAAATGTTGTATGTGTAGGAAACTTTATTGTGTCATGTTAAATGAAAAATGCAAACCCCTGGTGATTACTGTAAGAACCTGCACCGTTAATTAAAGAAGTTAATTAATTAATTATGAGAAATTAGGGAATAATTTCATAATTGACCCTAATAATTATTATGAGGCTTAGATAATTATAGTGAGTGAGTAAGAATGTTGAAAGTCGCTTTTCGGACAAAAAATGCAGATACCGGTTCTGCTACTCAGTACAAATGCGTATCGATGAAGTATCCCGAAAAATTATAATAAGTGTGTAAATATTACTAGAATAATATATAGGACTTGTAAAACAAGTTTCAAGTCAAAATAATGAGAACTGGTGCCAGAACTGATAGTGGCTATGGAAAAGCGCGTACCGAAAAGATGCTGCGAAAAATCTAATAAAAATATGGTAAATATTGTAAAATTGAGTAGGTTTAGAATCTTGAGTTTGGGATTAAAATGCTAAGCGTAGCTAATTATGATAATACTGTGTGTTTATGACTTAAACCATTATATATACTTATTTAAGGCACTAAACCCTATGCCATAACACTATCCTACGTGAGTTTTGGTGGCTGGTCAGTTTGTGCTCTACTCCTTGCTCCTCTTCACCATTTTGTGACCAAGTTGTCACCTTTTACTTGTTTTTCCTCCTTTTTCACCTTGTAAACACTTGAGTGGGTGTCTTGTGAGGGTGAGGTTCAGTTTTGCTGAGTTGAGGGTATTGTTTGGGGATGAGTTTTGGGGCTGAGTTCCTTGCTTGAGTGGTTGGAGCTTTGTTTTGGTTGTGGGAGCTCCAAGTGGTCATCTTTGTGCAGAAAAGACCCACCTTGTAGTGCATTTTCGTGCACCATCTTAGTCTGAGTATTTGGAGCTGTTTGGTGAGCTCCAAGAGCACTCCCTTCTCTGTTTTGAGCCTTGGGTAAGTTATTCAACCTTTGATCATGAGTTTTAATGGTTAAAAGAGGTTTCTTGGCATGTTTAATGAGTTAAACAAGTAACCAACTGTTATATAAACTTAAAAGAGGTTAAAAATGCATGCTTGGACGTTGGAATGGGTTAAAAGCCCAACCTTTGGAAGGATATCTCGCGAAATGCAGAACTGCATTCTGTCGCGAAATATCCGGATATGCATATCCGGATATTGATATCTGGATATGGGGATATGAATATCTGGATATTGATATAATATCCGAATATTGGCAGAGAGATATCCGGATATGTCCCCGACAAATATCCAGATATTATGGGTTTCAAAGAACAGTAGCTGCACTGTTCATACAGAATGATGTTTGGGGTTTGTGGACCCTAGACTGGTTAAGTTGAGCTTCTGTATTGATTAGTTAAGTCATAATCTAAGTGATTAAGGGCTTGTGACTTTGTGAGAAGCCTTAAGACATGAAATGTAAAGGAAAGACGTTATCCTTGTGTCTTATACTTGTTGAGTATGATTTTGATATAATTGTTGGTCCAAAACAGATTGTGATTCTGCTGTGTTTGGGCTTTGAGATTGGTTGGACTCTTGGCTTGGATTGTTAGCTTGCAAGGTAAGTTTTTGTGTCATCGATTTAGCCATTGTTTGTTCCACCATGTCCCATGGGGGATGGTTATATGCATGATGTGTTTTCATGTACTGTTTTATTGAAATGCTATGGAGCTGTTAAGTGAAAAATGCTTATGATATGTATGTGGTGTTCTGCCTAGCCAGGAAGCCATGGGGTGGTCCTGGGGGCGGGTACAACATGAGCTGGTACTGTGTGGGTAATAAACGTATTTCTGCACTTCTCTGACCAGTAGAATAGTGATAACACACATGACATGAATATCTGTTGCACTGCATTGAGTTTTGGAATTTTGGAACTTATACTGTTAAATGCTTTTAAACTTATATTGCTCGTGTAAGTGAGCTTGGGGTGAAAGATCCTTGAGGACCCCTTGTCTTACTGAGATTTCTTTTTAGAGATCTCACCCCACGTTTGGGGCACATATTTCAGGTTCAGGTAATGCGGGGGTTGAGACCTCTAGCAGTAGGAGACCGGAACTTAGCTGATTATATATGTTGTATGCTGACATGACTGGATATTGGATGCTGTTTATGTTTTCTGTCTTTATATTGATATTTGAGTTGAAACTCTTTTGTGGGCTTTGTTGCCTAATTGGGTGAGCATGGAGTTTGTCCATGCCACATTGATGTTAGTACTTTTAGGGCATGTTTGGTACATAGTATAGGATAATGTCTGATAGTATAAGACCTGATAGTATAAGACCTGATTGTATAAGACCTGATTAAATTTTAATACTATCCTGCGTTTGGTATGGTATTGTATAAGATAATATCCTCCAATATTTTAAAAATTAATATTATTAAAAAAATTATTTTAATATATTAATATTGAAATGTTATATTAGTTCTTGAAAATTGTACTTTTAAGCAACATTAATATATTAACCCATTTATCAGGCCTAATCCTACCCCCTTAGGCTTGATTACGTTATACATCATTTTGATGTATAAAGGGATTCTGCTGTATAAGCTTATACTATACGATGGTCACACCAAACAACTGAAAATGTCATAACGTATAGTACAAGCTTATACTATCAGGCCTTATACGTCACACCAAACAAGCCCTTAGCTTGAGTTGTATAAACTATCAGGGTTGTCCGGTCTACGTGTAGTAGTTTTGTGACTAGAGACACATTATGTTATTTATGTTATGAGGTATTTCAGTTAGCTGACTTTTGCAACTTTCATACCAGCGATGTTTTATGAAATGAATTAAGTAATTCAACTTGGCTAATGATAATGACGTTATAATTGAACCGAAAAAGATATTCCGTATTTTTAAATTAAACGTGATTTAATACGATGATATGATAACAAACTGGATATATACGGGGTGTTACAATTACAAGAGACGTTTATCGCTATTTTTTTTTTGTTTTTCTGGATTCATTCGGTATAGTAGGTTTACCAAAATAAAAATAAAAATTCTGTATAGTAGTAATTCATGAATAATCTCGTTATAGTATAGAGAGGTCAGACGGCGTCGTTTCGAAGTGGGTTTCCCCTGAACTGTAAAATTGACAAAAATCCTGTTGTATTGTTGTGTCTCCTCGAGAAGATTTGGCGGGATTGATTCTGACTTCGGAATCTGAACCTCTCTCTCTCTCTCTCTCTCTCTCTCTCTCTCATAATTCTATTCCAGTTTTGATTTTTTTCCCCCTCATTCCCCAAAACAAAAGGGTATCTTTCTTATTTCCAATTCACGATATCGGCATTGTTCTAAGTCTGTGAGATTTTTTTGTTTGACCTAGGAATGCAATGGATGATGGCAACAACAACAACAAAACATCTTCCGACCAAGTCATTGCAGAAATGGTCGAAATGGGTTTCGAGTATTCCAATATTCTAGAAGCCATAAAAGTAGTGGGTCCATCTATTACCAGCGCTGTGGAGCATATCTTGAATAGAACTAGCTCTGAAGCTGAAACATCCACTACCCACAATTCCAAAATTCACACACATCATGGGAAGCCTCTCAAAAAACGAGCTTTGCCCTTGTCCCGTCAGGTTCGACAATCGAGGATACTCGAGCATTTCCAATCCACTGATAAAGTCACAGAGAGTAAGAACAAGAACAATGATCTAGTTGTTGATGTGGAAGAGCACAAGGACTTCAAGGAGCACAATGATGTACTTGTAGCTGAGTATTTGGATATTGAATCTGATTGGGAGCAAAGAGCTAGTAACCTCTTGCAAAAGCATTTTGGTTTTTCATCCTTGAAATTTTTTCAGAAGGAAGCTCTTGCTACTTGGGTTGCTCATAGAGACTGTCTTGTCCTGGCTGCAACAGGATCTGGTTTTGTTCTTTATCTTCTAACTGTTTGTGCCTGCTGTGTGTAGCTATTGTGTTTTTATTCATAATTACGTTTTGGCAGGGAAATCTCTGTGCTTTCAAATTCCTGCTTTATTAACTGGGAAAGTGGTGGTTGTGATTTCTCCCTTAATAAGCCTGATGCATGACCAATGCTTAAATCTAGCAAGACATGGAATCAGTGCTTGCTTTCTTGGGTCTGGGCAACCTGACAATACTGTTGAACAGAAAGCAATGAGAGGCATGTATAGTGTAATTTATGTTTGTCCAGAGACAGTCCTAAGGTATGTTTAGGGGCCTTGAAGCTCATTGTGTTTCTTAGAAGTCTTCATCATTTTTGTTCTTCTCATGTAGTCATGTTTGGTAACCTTAATATGATCCTATGTAGATTGATTGAACCACTGCAGAAGCTTGCAGAAAGTCGTGGCATTGCTTTATTCGCAATTGATGAGGTGCATTGTGTTTCCAAATGGGGTCATGATTTCCGTCCAGACTACAGGTCTGTTTTATCCCTTCTTTTTCCTCATTGTTTATGGCTATTGGAAATGAACTGGATCAGTTAGTGTATGATCATGACTTTTGGTTTGTATATCAAAGAAATGAAGATCAATTGTTGATTGATTTGATTGATTATCACACATATTTCTTTTGGTCTTTGTTTTGTGCATAAAATGTCTTTATTCTACTATTATAAGTATGACCTGTTTTTAAATTTCTTCTCTTGTTTCAGCCGACTGTCTGTGCTGAGGGAAAATTTCAGTACTAGCAAGCTAAAATCCCTGAAATTTGATATACCACTGATGGCCTTGACAGCTACAGCTACAAACAGAGTTCGAGAAGACATTTTAAAATCACTATGCATGTCAAAAGAAACAAAAATTGTTCTTACATCATTTTTTCGTTCTAATTTACGCTTCATGGTTAGTTTGTTGATTATAACTCATACTTATCTCTGACCATTCATTCTTCTTGTTACTCAAGATTCATTGTGGCTTCATACAGGTAAAGCATAGTGGAACATCACCGGCTTCTTATGAGAAAGATTTCCATGAATTGATTAAAGTATATAGTAGAAAGCAAAATATTGATGGAAATGATTCAGATCATATTTCCAATAGCCCTGATGCTAGTAGAATCTTTGATACAGACAGTGTTTCTCCTTATGATGTGGATGACAATGAAGATGATTATGCTGATAGAGATACTAATGTAATACATTCAGGAAACACAGACAATATTATAAAAGGAAAAGAATTGTCAGTTGAGTTCCTGGAAAATGACGTTGATGTCTTTCCAAGTGTGGATGACTGGGATGGTACTAATCTTTCTGCTATTTCTGACTTTATTAAATATAATTGGTTATGTTTAATTTAGAAACTAAAAGCAATTTTGGTGCTAATAGTAAAGAAAATCAATCTAGTTGAACATTTATGATTCTAATTTTTGTATGAATCACTTTTTATAAATGCAGTTACCTGTGGTGAATTTTGTGTACAACCTCCTGCCAAGGATTGGGTGTTATCCGAGACAATTGATCCACCTAAGAAACCAGAAGGGAGACTGAAAATGCTTAAAGATCCTTTGGAACAAGGACCAACAATTATATATGTACCCACCAGAAAAGAAACGCTGAGAATTGCAAAGTATCTATGCAAGTTTGGTGTGAAGGCTGCTGCTTATAATGCAGGGGTATGAGTTATAAATAATACTCAATCTTGTTAAATTAGATGGACATTTAAATTTGTAATGGATGAAAATTTATAGGGTTGATCATGTAAATTGACAAGAGAATTATCAATTCTAAGACCCCATGAAGTACTAGCTAGCAGAAGAATCTAAATTTTACTTGTTATTTTCTTTCTGTTTTACTACTGTGGATTTCATTGAACCAAGCTCGATAGTTACTTTTGCATTGTTATCTAAGAAATGTTTGCTGCACATTCCCCTTTCACCATTTGAATTATGCTGATTGTTGGGTTTTAAACTTATTTATGAGCTCAATTTCTTTCTCCAGCTGCCCAAATTGCATCTGAGAAGGATTCATAAAGAGTTTCATGAAAATACTTTAGAGGTACGGATCTGGAGCCTAAGCAGAATATTATAGATGTCTCAGTTTGATATTTTCCAACCTGACCAGTCTTTTTTTTGGTTTAAATGGGGGAACAAATATTTTATATTTGAATTGAGTTGGCCAGTTATCATTTATGGTATGTGGTCATTTAATAGTGAAATTTTATGTGGTAGATTCAGACATTTAAGTTATATGTATTATTCATTGCAACTTCTTATATCTGTGGTGTGCTATTCACATAACTATTATTATGAACATCCAGGATCACCTGCATGGAACTCTGATCATTAAAAGAGAACTGACTAATTGTCATTTACTCTTTTTATCTGATTTTCATGCCTTTCTCAGTTTTGGGCTTGTTTTCGTACAGAATTACCCCTGGTCCCCACCACCATGTTTGTTTAGTCCTTTTTACAACTTTGGGTGTTTGAAACCCTGTCTAGCCTGCTATACATCTAATCATGGCTTTGTCTTTGTATTGTCATTACTGCTTAATTTCTTATATTATGTACCCCGAAAAAAGAACCAAGTCAAATTTCTTTAAAAGGTTGGTGATATTAACACAGCTCTGAATTGTTTTTTATCCTTGTTTTATTCCTATGTTACCAGTGAGTTTAGTACATAATTTCAACTATTTACAAAAAGGTTTGTCACATAACTTGTATACATTTGTGTTTTATCATTTTTCAGGTTGTTGTTGCAACAATAGCATTTGGAATGGGAATTGACAAATCGAATGTCAGAAGAATCATCCACTATGGTTGGCCACAGGTCTGTTTTTCAAATACATTTTTCCTGACAATTAATTAGAATTGAAGTATCGGTATTTTCTTGTGCATTCCATATTTGATTCTTTCACTCCCTGAATTGTCAATGCTTTTGGAGATATCTCAAATAATCAAATACGTAATTTTATCAGAGTTTGGAAGCCTACTACCAAGAAGCTGGTCGGGCTGGTCGAGATGGGAAACTAGCAGATTGCAGTAAGTTTAATTACACCCAAACCACAATATAATTTTTATTTTTTACCTTGTGATGCATTTTTCCTTTGTTCTTCTTTCAGTTTTCTGTTGGATTTTAAACTCATGCTACTCCGTTGACACACACAATTAGTAGGTTTCTTGTTTAATTCTTTTGCTCCACTTATATCTTATATTTGCCTCCTTTTCATAATCAGTTCTGTATGCAAACCTAGCGAGAATACCATCTCTTTTGCCAAGTCGTAGAAGTGAAGATCAGACAAAACAAGCATATATCATGTTGTCTGATTGTTTCAGGTTTGCTTTGGTGACTAAACCTTTATTTGTCCTTTTTAGTACAGAATCCTAATACATATTTGCAGATATGGAATGAATACTTCATGTTGTCGAGCAAAGACACTTGTGGAGTACTTTGGAGAGGATTTCAGTCATCAGAAATGTCGCTTGTATGTTAAGTTTGGTTTCAATTACTTGCTGTTTTATTATATTTTAGCATCAATTGAAGTGAAAAATTAATCTAAATTAGGATAAGCTTGAGATCCTGTATGTATTTCTCTTTCAACCAATAGCTGGTATTGAGTTACCTTGTTTATGGCATGAGCATATTCGCTTCCTTTTGTAATCAAGAGATTATCCTGTGGCTGTATTTTCTGGTAATATGTTAATTTTTTTGAGTAATTAATTAATGCATGTTAGCCTTCATATTGTCACTTTTTGATGAACCTCCTTTCATGCAGATGTGATGTCTGCATTGAAGGACCACCTGAAAGGCAGAATCTAAAAGAGGAGGCTTGTATTTTACTGCAAACTATAGGTGCCCATAATGTACGTCGAATAGTTTCAATTTATACTAAATGCACTTGCAAATAATTGTGTCTTACATGTGAATTTATATCAAAATATTGGCTCTTGGATTTTCGCAGCATGTTTTTCAAACATATGTACCTCATCCTCCTGCATGGGTATCCCGCGTGTCTATTTGTCTGGGTTAAGTTTCAATAGGATAAATTGGTTAAAAGAATGCTTTATTTTTGGAGTTTCTGGATCTACTTCAGCTGTAAGAGATCAGGTTCTGTGGAAACTTGACCTTTGGCTCCAAAGCTTGATGAATATGAAATTGTCATGGTCCACAGATTGTAGTTTTTATATTCCATTAGAGGAAAGAAGCTAACGCAACATGAATGCTAATTTTTCAGGCATGTAGGTTTTCCATGGATTGTTCATATGATGATGATATACGTGTCGACTCCAAAGATAGAAGACTAGGAGAGAGGCCAAGTCTTAAGATGTTAGTTGGAAAGATAAGGGAACAGGTGAACCTACACATAATTGTCATCTCTAACTGTGTGTTATGTTGGATGTTCTGTTTTGCTAATTCATGTAACAAAAGTTTTAATTGTTTTCATATGATGGCCATATGCAGTTTCAAAAGTTTTTAACCACTGATATATTATGGTGGAGAGGTCTTGCTCGAATTTTGGAAGTTAAAGGATACATCAGGGAGGGAGATGACAAGGTATATAATTACTTGCTTTAACTAGAAATAACCTATGGTTCTATATTTATATTACAAAAGCCTGTTCATAAATTTGATGGTGAAAGTGTTGGATTTGTTGCCTCTGAAAATTAAGAAACGATATGTATACACTTGCGTAGCGTGATCCTACAAGGAGGTAATTTAACACATTGATCTAAACCACACCGCATTGAAAACTCTTTGTAAGGTGTTTTGAGTTGATGGGCTAATCAGAAAGATATTTATGCATTCAGTATTCAAGTGGAACTGTGGCACTTGTATGTTCTTAAAACATTCTCCTAATTCCTAAGCTCCAAGCAAAAGTATGGTGTGCCTGTCTTACCGTGCATGTGCTATCTTATCTGCATGTATGCAGTCTAATGCCGTGAGTGTGCTTTGGTAATTTGACTGCAATTTGATCTCAAGCTTTACTATACAAATGCAGACCCATGTTCAGATAAAATACCCGGAGCCAACAGAATTGGGATTGAAATTTGTGAAGTCCATGAGTGAGCAAGCTTTCTATGTTTACCCTGAGGCAGATATGTTGCTTGCAAGTAAAACTCGCAAATCATATTCGTCATTCTCAGAATGGGGAAAAGGTTGGGCTGATCCTGAGATTCGTCGCCAGCGCCTGGAAAGAATGCAAGTCAATAGAAAGCCAAGGATGCTGCAAAGTCCCAAAAAGCAACGAAAGAGAAAAGCTAAGAAAGTGCAACCTGATTTGAGGACTTCTCGAGGTAGATTGGCAGCAAAACTCTCAAAATATAAGTGATATGTAAAGGTCATCTTATCTAGTTAATAAAAAATAATGGATTATTTACTCATTGGCACCTAGAAGTGAATTCATCCATCATCAACTCAATTTTGCCAAGATTAATTGTATAGTCATTATTGGACATCAGTGTGGTTTTTGTTTTTGTTTTTGTTTTTCTCCGGAAGAAAGCCACATGGTGGTGAACTGAGATTTTGATGTGCTGATTCAAATCTGTCTATAACTAGTTAGCCACTGATCGTACTGATACTCCATATCTGAATCAGGAAAATGATATTGATTTTTGTTATCGATTCAGTAATGAGGAATGAGTTGTTTTTTAGTGATAATAAAAATAATTTTGGAGGTTGTATCATTAATGAGTTATTTTTGTATATCTTGACCCCATTGGTTAGCTTCTCCCTTCCTTGTTTTGACTTTTGAGTTTCAATTTGTTTGGAGGTTGTAGTTTTGTAGAAGCATAATTTCTCATGAATTCACCACGAATCATTTATCGAAATACCAGATACTAAAATAAAATGAATAAGAAAATAGAAATATAAAAATAGTGTACATTTCATGACTATAATTTCGTTGTTACGCATTTTTATTGAAAATAAACTTAAAGGATACTTGTTTGTTCAACACCTACCACGTAAAATAGGCGATTACGGATTCGAGGTTGGCAGAATGTGAGGGCCACTTGGATATGTATTTTCCCACGAAGAAAAGTGAAGAAAAAGAAAAAAAGAATAGACAATAAATTCGAGTTCAAGTAATGTGATAGCCCAAAACCGAAGCAAAGTAAAAGGGTATACATTGTTTTACTCATGTGTCCTCTAGGATGTGTTGAACCATGAACCAACAACATCATCTGTCATGGAGTTCGGCAATATCGTTTTCGCCATAATAGGCTTCTCTGCGTCGTTCTTATTTTGCGTGCCGAACCTCAAGAGATGGCATATGAAACAAGTGGCTGCACAAAAACTAAAAATAATAAGCGAGGCATTGGAAGAGGCAGAAGAAAGAGTAGTGAGATTCCAAGAAAGACATGATAGAATTTTGAGTCAAATATGCGCGTCTTACTTGACCAATACAGAGCTTGTTGATGCGTTAACGGGAGCTCGAGCAGCCATGAATCAGGCATTGGACTTTGCCGTTGATTTGAGGAGAATTCAGTTTAAAATCATTAGCTCTTTCCCCGATTCAATCGATGTTCTCTTGGATACGTCAAAACAGACACCAACTAATAGATGGAGCTTTGGCTTTCGCCCCCCTAGAGGTGCTGCTTGACTTGCTTTTAATTTTCAATGCTTGCTTAAGATTTGGCTCTAAGATGCACTAGACTTTCTACATATATCTTACATATTACCGTTTTCATGAAGTAGTTGCAAGTCTTTTCATCAAAGTCTATATACTTGATTAAAGGATGTTCATTTGGAGAGCATTCTCAGTACTATTGTAATAGTGAATTTGGAGAGCATTTTCAGTCATATTGTAATAGTGAACTGAATACTGGTTACGACGATAATTTAAAATAAAATTATAAATTATATATTCCAAAACATACATAATTATAATTTTTATTTTATTTTATTTTTACAGTAGTATATTAAATTTTTCCGTTCATTAGGCCCTTGTGGCAGCCATAGTTCCAAAGTCTATTTTCTTTTTCTTTTTTAGTAATTGTTAGTTAGTTTTATCAGTTTAATTTGTATTTAAAACAATATACTAAACTTTTTAGAGCTTCCAACAAAAAAAAAAATTGTCTCATAAATGGGCTCATGTGGTTTTTTTTTTTTTTTTTTTTTAAGAAAAGCACTTTTAATTAAAAAACATGTCAAAAAGTTTTATAATAATTTTATTAACTTTAAAAAAAAAATAACAAAAATATCTTCTACTAAAAAACCTATCGTGTCTTCAAGTCCACCAAAGCCGGCCCTCAATTCCAAGTGGGTCCGTAATGGGGTTTATATTTAGAGGGCTCTTTATGACACGTTACCCTGCTCATATCGAAATTTAATACAAGCTCTTACAACACCAATCAATGTTTCCATGATTGGTTCAATTTAATTGATATGAAAAAAATTAGCACAAGAAAATTTCTGAACGAAATCGGCAGAAATATTTAGCAAAGCAATTTGACCATTCTTGATATAATAATTACCTTTTCAAGACTAAAGAATCTGGAGCGAATGCAGCTGATAGTTCAAATTAATTCATGATAAAAGAGCAATATATATACACGCCAACAGAGTGGATTGGATAACATTAGTGGCTTTAGCATATACTCGTATTTACAACTTAAACGTTATAAATAAGGGGGTAACTGGAAAATTCAGAAAGTATTCACAGCAAGTACACTGAAGATATTTACATGATGACGCATCCATACTAGAATGTCTCTTCTGGCTTTAGGAAATTGTAATATTCAAGTTGGGTCATCTCTCCGCCGGTTGCAGAATCAAACTGACATCGATAGAAGCTGTATTTACAATTCAATAAACAAGTTCATCAAAATTTATTTCACGAGAAAGAAGAGCAAGTCAGACACAAAAATACTAGAAAGCATTTTATTTTACGATAACAAAATGCAATGATAAAAGTTTATCATTTGAAAATGTAAATGACCCTCATTTTGTCTATCTGCTTTAACAATATAATGTTCCAAACCTGGCATCATTTATCAGTTATATCATAAATTACAAGCATACAAAAAATTATAGACATAAAACAATACTAATATATAATCATGCAACTAGTCGTCTGGTGCCAATGTCCAAGAAGCATTTGGACCCTGAACCTCAAATCCCAAAAAAATAAAATGTATTACTCATCATCCACTTTTTGATTCTAAAAATCAATCTGATTTTTATGTATTCAAGACTACCATTGGCACAAAACCTGAAGGAAGCCATCAGCCCATTAGCCTCGGTCAATTTTAGAAAGCAATGCACGGGTATAGAAGTAAACTTTAGAAGTTTAGTGTGGAAGGAAGCGAGCTATAATTATAGCCTCAAATCATACTTCCACCATACTAGTCCTGTCTGAATAAGTCTAATATCTCTAAGCAACCCCACCCCAACCCCCAAAACAAAAAAAGAAAACGAAAAAAAAAAAGAAAAGAAAAAATAAGAGACACCAATGACAAACTAAGGAGGGCACAGAAATGATCCATTACTGAAATACCTGCCATCCATGCCAAGTATTACGATTGTATTCTTTTGATGGCCAAAGGCAACAACATATTGCAAACCTTCATTCAATCGAAATTGAGCCACGGACCACTCTGAGCTAAAATACTTAGGCAACACACCTATAAAACAAACAGAATCAAGATGATCGTGAGCAACAACTTGTAATCACAAAATTCTGAATTTCCAGACTAAATGAAACTCTGCAATGTGACATCAACAAATCCCGTTCTAGTTCTTTGGTAGCCACTGAACAACGCACCTAATTTCCATACACAATCCATAACTCACAGTGGACAATAGCACAAACCTTTAATAAATGAAAGAGATGAAACCGCTGTAGGGCTAGCAGGATTAGAATCAGATGTACTATGTGATCTTTCATGCCCCAACAGTCCTGAATCAACCTTGAGGTTGAAGACATGAACGGTTCCCTTGTCACTTGAGACAGCTAGCCACTGTGCAGGATGAGAGAAGGCAAGGCTGTATATTTCTGCTCGGTCTGCACCTCTCCGTACCTGAAATCATCATCACACTAATTTCCATTCAAACCTCCAAAATAGTTGAACTCAGCATAAGCCTCTTCAACACAATACAATAAAACCCCTAACATTTCGAAACAATTAGCATCAAATGAATATCAACCTAATTCTTTAGCATTATATCAGAACTAACAAGCCTATTCTTATAAATAAATACCTATATAACAAAACAAACAAACAAACAATCACATTTCTACATATATATATATATATATATATAACATAAAAAATCCACCTCTTGGAGCAACGAACCATCCAAGGTATTGAAAACCCTAATTAGGGTTCCCTTGCTGCTTGCGGTGGCAAGCAAACGACCATCCTGGGAGAGCGCGAAGCATGCGATTCTGGAATCGTGTGCCGTAATGAACTTGGTCCTCTTGGACGCGTAATGCTCAACCCTAACCTGACCCTTCTGCAACCCAGGACACACCAAAACCATATTCCCCGAAACATGAGACACATCACAGAGCCCCTTAGGGTTCGCGATCGTCTCGATTTGGTGCAAGACCTTAAGATCCGCGAAATTGTACACGAATATCTTGTGCGCCAGAACAACCACGATTCGGTCCCTTCGGAGACGAACCCCTTTCACCTCCGATCGAAACGACAGCTCTCCGATACACCGTGACTGGTGGTCGTCCCAAATCATGACCTTGTTAACCGGGTACCTCGGGTCGGATCCGCCGCCAACGAAGGCCAGTATATTGCACCGGAAGAGCATGTGGACCAATCCGACTCCGCCGCCGGGACCGAAATCCCGCCGGAAAATCTCGCGAAAGGGATCGCAGTTGTAGATGCGGAAGCCGCCATCAGTGCCGGCGGCGAAGCAGCCGGAGTCCTGGTTGAAGGAGAGATGGAGTAGGGTCGGGTTGGGATCCGAATTTGAAGGCGGGTTGGGGGAAGTGGGTATTTGGGTCGGGGGTGTTTCGTCTGAATCAACAGGGATAAGGGTTTGTGAGGTATGTGTATGAGACATTTGTTGAAGAATAAGGTAGTTGTGTGTTTGTTAAGGTGAAACAGAAAATTAGAATCAGAGAGATTTGAAGGAAGGAAGGGTTTAGTTTTGGAATTGAGATTGAGCGATTAGGGTTTGTAGTTTAGTTTGAGAAGGGTATTGGATTTGGAAGGAGAACCAGCTACGTCCTAGGTGGGGTGGGTTGGGTTGGTTTGTGCTTTTACTTGTTTTACAAGGGATACATGTATAGTTAAGAATGAGTTAACAACTATTTAACTTTATTCCCTTTTTCTCTTCCTTTTTAAATGTTCGTTGTAATACTCTACTCAGTTTCTTTTTTAATGATTTGATAAGATATAATTTAAATGAATAATTTTATATTGACAATGTATTACAAGTAAATCCTAAAATTATTTAAATATTAAATAGTTACATATGTTGTGATAATTGATTATGTAAATTGTAATTCTGAATAATTGATGAAAATTGGAATTAAGGGATTTTTCCCTTTGTTCTCCATTTTTATTTTTTAAAGTTATTATTGTTAATTATTCATCAGAAGATTATAGCGTGTTCATAAATCTAAGAAAATTTAGGTAAATTGAAGTGCTCATATCGTGAAATCTCCTATGAAATGGCACAAAGCCCATTATGGGCGTGAAAATAATGTCTGATAAAAATTAAAGATGTCGCGGATACGATGCAAATAAAGATTAAGATAATTTATTGTATCTTATGTTTATCTATTACTTGGTGAGCCAATAAAAAACTTATATTATTGACTCATTTTATCTTGTGTTGCCACATGATAAGTTATCATCAAGAGACTTGAGTTAGGATTAAATAGAATAGTAAATTGTTTTGGTAAATTATGGCTCTGTTTGATTACTGTTTTTAAAAGCAGTTTTTTAGTTTTCGAAAAAAAAAAAAATTCATTTATTTTGTAAAAAGGTTTCAAAAATTATAATTTTTTTTTTAGAATCAAATTTAAAAAATATGTCCGAGTTGTTTTTATTTTCTGTTTTTATTTTTAACTTTTAAAACAAAAAAACACAAAAAACAATTGTTTCCTTAACTATGTTACAAAATAATTTAAGAACAAAAAAATAAAATACAATCAAACAGGCCCATAATTTTTCTACTTCTTAAGCTTCCTTAAGAACATAAAAGTGAGGCTTATCACTATTAAAAATATGCATGGATCGAATTGAACTGAATTGTTTTGAACGGTTCGGTTTAGAAATGATTTGTTTCGATTGGAAACTGGTTTTGTTCAGTTTAAAAACGGTTCGGTTCGATTTGAAATCGTTTTGGGGCGAACTTATTCTGAAAATAAAAAAAAAATAAAAATAAAAATAAAGTAATAAAATGAGGTTCAGTTCGATTTTTGAATTGATTTCTGAAAACTAGTTTGATTTTTGAACTGACTTCTTAAAAACCAATTTAGTTAATTAACTTGTTTTCAAAAATCAGTTATGTTTAGTACGGTTCGGTTTAGTTCACAGTTAAGTTCAATTTTTTGATTTTTTTGCACATCCCTAATTACTATCGCCACAAGCCACTGATCATCCACCATCAGTCCATCGCCATAATGTGCATGCTTGACTTTTTATTTTTATTTTTATTAACTTCCATGAAACAATAAATCTCTAATTCTATCTAAATATTATTAGATACATACATGATAATTAACAATCAATTTAAAATTTAATTTTTCAATTTTTTTTGTTATTTTGAAAATTATAGTGAGGTATTTCATATATTTAATTTAAAATTATGACTTTTATGTACTTTTTAAAATAAAATAGGAAATAATATATAAATAAGTAAAAAGAAAAAACAATTTAAAAAAATAATACATAAATATTTTATAAAGGATATCTTCGTCTATTTATATTATGAGGGGGGATATTTTGACTACCAAAAATGTCCACTACCACTTTACTACCTATCAAATCACCATTGGATTAAAGAGAGAGAATGTTAAAAAAAATTTGAAGAGAGAGAAAATGTTAATCCAATGGTGATTAGATAGGTAGTAAGGTGGTAGTAGAAATTTTTGGTAGTCAAAATATCCTTCCTCTTATATTATATCTTGATACTATGTAATTTATATTTTTTTTTAAATACAAAATAAGATAACATAATCATATAAGACTTTTTACTTAGTGTTCATCGAACAAGATATAGGATATTATCAACTCATCAAATTCTTATCATTTTTTTGTTTTTATACGTCCTCTTGTCCCTCGAATCCTTACTAGTCGCGCGTGGGTGTCAATACAAATTAACGTAAGTTTTAATACAAATTAATTAAAAAAATTCAAAATTAATATTCTAGAATTCTAGTTACATGAATTAGAACACGCGAGATATAGGCCCAAATAGCATGCATATTCCACAAAGTTAGGTTTAAACTCATCTTAGAAAAATGAATAGTTGAATGTACCAAAGTGATGTTGTAACCGGTATTAATTGATTGTATAATGGTCATTTATGCAAGGAGTAATGAACCAATAACGTTGTGCTTATGCCCAATATCATCCAATATAAACCATCAGTTAATGCCCAAAAATGAACTAGTAATTTCAACCCCTGTACCACTGCACAAACACATAAATGATATTAAACAAAAAGAACACAAGAATGATACTGATATTCTATTAGTCATGCTTTTGAGGAGGAAACACTTCATATAAAACGGAACTATAGACTAAATGATGGTAGCATAACTTTGGGGTGAGAATATCTATTCGATTCTCTTAGTACCATTTTTGGAAGGGATTTAAAATCTTAATCTCGGATCTCTCAAATTGGAGTAGTCGAAAAATAATGAACTGGTTGGAATATCTCCAAATAAAAAAAGAAGAAGCAGAACTATAGACCTAAACTAAGATATTCTAAACATGGTGCGGATGGGTTTACACGGCTATGTGTCCTTATTAGAGGATAAGCTACAGCACCATTGTCCTTCTTCACTGCCCCTCTAATTATTTCTCCAAAATCATAGTTAAAATATAGAAAACCATGATCCTTGCCTGAGCCAGAGGGCTTAACAACTTGATGAAAGCCATGGTTGGTGCTACCAGAATTGTCGTAGAGTTCTTTGAGAGGGACATAAACTTCTCCAATGACCTTGTCACTGCCTAGGATTCGTTTACACATGAGTTGAATCATGAGCACCAAATGGTCCTGTTGCAACTCCGAGTCTTCCAAGTAAAACCTCAATGAAGAACGAAGTCCCCATGTGGGGTTAGTGCCATTGTATTTTCCTACACAAGTTTGTTGCTTTGAAGGTGAACTACTACTACCAATGATAGAGACCACAGCATATACGGATCTCTTGAAGAATAGTTTTGAGCAGTTGAGGCCTCCAGCTTCCTTCAGGTAGATGTTGAACCTTCGGTAATCCATGCCTCCTGAAGAACAATTAGTCTGCAATCAACACTTTGGAATTGGTACAGAATATAATGAAGCGTAGATATAAGCTTTATATGATATTTAAGTTCAAAAATCCTCTGTATGATAGGATTACTGTTTTTTCGCGTTTTGATTATCCAATTATTTGGAGGATAAATCTCTTATCTATAACAAATTTATATAGACGGTTACAGAAGTTCTTGTGTTGTGATAAAATCGCTTTTGAATAGATATTATCACCTCAATTTTTTTGGTTGCTTGATTTCAAATTTTTGAAATGCAACTGAAAAGAATTATAGATGGATAAGAAAAACACAACTGGATGAATTTTAATTCAACATTCTGTTACATTAATTGTGTTTGTTTAGGGAGAGGTTATAGTTACTATCTCTTTTTGTTACTATTTGTTACTACTAAATCGTAACGGTTGATTTTCGTCAATTTATAATTTATTGAAAATTAATAATTAATTAATAAGTATGACCCAATAAATTATAACCGTTAGATTGATGGAAATCAACAGTTACGATTTAGTAGACAGCTAATAAGATTGGTTCAAGTATACATGATCAATCATGAACGGTTGAAAAATATTATGGATATGCAAAATAAAATTTGCATGCCTAAATTATATCTTCTTGAAGTATGATTAAATTGAGATCATATATTTCTTTCTTTCTTTTTTATAATTGATATCCGTAAATCATGTAAGGTCTTAACTTATCTGAGTTATTCATTTATAAGATCTAAACTTCAGACTTCATAAGCGTTGATTCGTTATTTTTCAATTTTAGTAATATTTATAGAAATTTTTGTTGGCAATATATGCATGCACAAATAAAATTCATTCAAATCGACTTCACTTAAAATAATTTTTTATTTATCTTTTTAAATTATTCATTTAGAGTTATATTTGTAACATTATTCCAACATCTATACTTTTTTTTTTCTCGTGTTTGATTCGCAATCCGAGTTATCAAATATTTCATTAATCATTAATAGTTATTTAAATTTAATGAACTTTTAAATATTTATTATAAAGTTACTAATTAATAAATAAATCGTCCTGGAAATGGAATAACAAAACCATGAAAATATCATAATAGACATAATACAAAAAAGAGCAGTTGAAACATTTTAAGTTAATTAGAATACAGAAAAAACTACAATTCACATATAAACCTTGAGGCTCTTTTTTGGATTGCAATGTGTCATTCTTTCCAACGCAGTGAGACCCAAAAGCGCTCCAAATAGTAGCTATCCGTTGCTCTAGTGAATGGCGTAAAAAAGAAAACACTAACTAGAGGTACTCGTACACTATCCACGACCATTTTGGGTACAAAATTACATGTGAGCATCTATGTGCTCTAGGCTTTGATAAAACAACAAACCAAACCTACCTCCCAGTATGTAGATAAATCAGAAAAACAGAAATGGAAAAGCAGCTACCCCTATCAACTAAAATGCATTTTACATTGTGAAGCCCAAAAACCTCAATAAATCACTCTTGATTCTTGAACGGTTATATTTCTTGGTTCTTGCATTTCCTCGGGTAAGTCATTCACAATCCAACTCGCCCGCATTTTTCTTGTATTGGATTTGGTGTACTGTTGAGTACGTGACATTTTTGTCAAAGTGGATGGTATGGCACATAGCCTAATAAATCCGTCAAGTTAGTCACGACATCGTTGCATCTTGTCAAAAGGCTTATCATCTGCTGTGATATATCAACTGAGGTTGTAGAAGCTGATGCGGTCGTGTTTATAAAATCGGGAATATTTCTGGGTGCCATTTCAGAATTATGCAAATTGTGTTGAGGGATTTTCGTAAACTGAGTAGGAGGGGGAAGATTAGGCAACGATGGTTGAGAAATGACCTTTTGAACATTCTTACTATTAAAATCCATAGCAACAGGAGAAAATGCACCCACATCAGCAAAACTAGCATTGTTGAAGTTGTTTCTATTACCCACCATTAATTGCTCTCCCCTACTACTTTCTTCCCCACCTAACATGAATTTTACCCGTGGGGTCCCTTTACTACTACCTCCATTACCGGTTCCCTGGCCTAACTCATCCCCAGTAGATTTCTTCAGGATGGATTTGAGCTGGATCATTGGCTGTAGAAGAGGTTGCTGTGCTGAAACTGATGTCTGGCGTTGAACCATTGCAGGATCCTTCATCCGAGGTGTTTCATTGGCTGCATCCTCTCCCTTAGCCTTGGCAACTTCAGACGAAGAATCCCCAAATTCCCGGAGGTAGCATCTCATACCCACATTGCCAAACAAGGATGGGTTTGCTACAGCATATTTATATGCAGATTGTGCATCAATCTTGTGCAAGAAAACAACTCGACATGTTGAGGTCTTCCAAAAGACACGGAGACCTGATTGATCTATTGGCCCAAAACGAGCAAACCTTGCCTTCAGCTCTGCAACAGATGGAAGTGAAGTTTTGGGAGGAAACTTGATCACCAGTATGGTTGGTTCAACTGGCTTAGCGGGACGCTCCACTTTCCTGGTCGAATCTGATCTCACCATCTTGGGTGGAGCCTGGACCATTAATTCTTTTCCCTCTACTCGCCGGGCTTCAAAAGTTTTGTGGCTGGCTGCCTTCTTCTCTGCAGCCAGTGTCTTTAAATCCTTGGTTTTCTTCAGCCTCTTTGCATTAATTTCTTCTTGACGATCAGAGAGGGCCCTTTTCCGCCCAGCTTTGGTTGGATCATCAGGCCGAACGTGTTTTACAGGCTTTACATGAGGTGAAGCTCTGGCATGATCATCAGGACTGTCAGATGCCCCCACACTGGAAGGAGATTTAATAACATGAACTTCAGGTGCTTCATTCTCTGTTGCTGGGGATAAAAATAAGCTTTTCTGGTAAACAAGAGATCTGAACCGCAAAAAGAACTGCCTAACTGCAGCAGGGATCCCTCTTTTAACACCATAAAAAGGATCCAAAGCAAGAGCTTGCAAATCACCCAAAAGTTGAGGCAACTCAAAATCAACTTTTGCTACTGTATCCATGGGCAGCAAATTACTGGCAGAAACATCCACCTGCACTGGTTCTCCATGTGAATCCTCTCTAGGAGCCAATCCAATTGAGACAGGTTTTCCAATCAATTTTTCTGATAGATGTACAGATTTTTCAGTAGTAGATTGCATCTCCAGATGGCCAGAGGTAGGATGTAAATTTAAACTCGTTTTCTTTTTCTTCTTCTTTTTTTCCCCAATAGCAGAAGTCTCAGAGTTCAAGTCATTTGCACGCTGCTTATGAGCTTTTACCTTCTTCAGCACCCCATCAACACTAAGTTTGTGATGCTTTATATCAACTGGTGAAGTATCTACAACATTTGAAGCGCTCTTAATTTGATGCATGTCATTTCCTCCATCAGCTAAAGTCAGAAATCCATGCCCTGTTTGCTGAAAATCTTCATGTGGTCCTGACACTATTACAGTTCCATCTTGTTTAACATCAATATTAGTTTTACTCTCCAGATAGGTAGACAGAGATTTCTCATCAACTATGCTTGGCAGTGCCATCTCCCCAGAGAAATCAGGCCTACCCATGCTTTTACTAGCAACATCAACTACTTCAGAGCTCTTGGTCATTTCTTCAGAAGATTCTTTGGCCTTGTCAAGTAGATAAGGCTTTGTATCTAAGGTAATTTCTTGAGGTGCAGTACCACTGCTGTCTGGTTGAACCTGGTCTGCGACAGCTTCTTTGGCATTTATAGCTAAAGCTGCACCATCCTGGCTTATAAACCCTGGGTCTTCATGCTTCTCTAAAATCTGAGGTGCCACAGACAAAGCTATAGGCCTCTTCTGAAATGCATAATGCCCAACTGCATCTGGTGTCTCCTCACTGGAAGCTAACTGGAAAGAGTTGGTGGGTTCATCTCGCCGCTTAAAAAGATACTTATCCTTCTTGAAATTGTCCTTAACTTTAACAGATTTTGTACTGCTCTTCTTCTCAGCGCCCAAAGTTTCTGCTATCACCATTGGACCACTCAAAGGAGCTGGAGAACACAAGAAAAAAAAAATCATAAAAAAGGTAGCATTCAGATAATAAAACATACTTGAATAGCTAGACAGACAGCCATCAGCTATATATCCATTCCACACTAATGAACATCCTAGGATAAGTGAAGGGATAAATTACATCAGCTTACAATGTAATCACACATCCACAGTCAAATCAACAAGCTAATAAAAAGCATATACCTCTAGCAGGCTGATTCTCTTTCAAATTTCAAATAAAAAGCATATAAAGACATCCAAAATGGACGATTTGGAAGAGCATATACCTTTAGCAGGCTGCCTCACAGGTTGATCAAGAGGATTAGTCTGAAGATCAGAAGGGCGCAAAGTCTGCACTCCAAAAGCCTGGGCATAAGTCTCATCATATTGCTCAAACAATGCACGTCGAAGAGCAGAAACAGTGGCCTTATTCTTGCTGAAACTAATGCTCCTGTGATCGCCGCCATGGGGTGCGAAGGCCAATTGCTTTAAAAAGCCAAGCGTTTCAATGGGCCTAAAACTGTTTCTTGCAATCTTGATCTGAGCATTAGAATAAACTCCGGGCTCATAATCCGGCACATGAACAGAAAAGTAACCTTCAACATTGGTGGGGCGAAAATTAGGAGGGTTCCTACATCTACAAACCAAAGCAAGACCACATCTTCTGCTAGCTTCATCAACTGCCTCTTCTACAGCCTTCAAGAAAGGTCTGGAACTTAACTGCTTCGATTTCTCGGCGAAATTCGCATCGAAGGGGATGAGTTCAGCCGGTTCAAACCACCCATAACTGCTGTCACCAAAGAAAGCCACCAAGACATGACCTTCCCTCTTTGTACGACGCACTGCAGAAGATGCAAAAGCTTCATTGTATATATGCCCAGGCCACCATGGGTGAGATTTCACCTTTCCCCACACCATTTCACCCACTTCAAAACCATACCCTTCATCATATAACATAGACTTACCATCAGAACCACAAAAATCATGCTCTTCAGCATGATTGTTTATTTGATCAAAGCGATCAATGGTCGATAATGCGGGTCCAGAGTCACCCTCCGAACAAACCCTAACCCTAAGCTGTTCCGTCGAAGTGACCAGTGGCTCCTCTGAAAGGCGAGAATCAACGGACGAAGAATCCCTATGTCGGTCATTGGGATTTGAATCACCAGTTGTTTCGGTGACGGCCGAAGAGTGGTCTTTGTGATGGTGGCTCATGAGTGATGCTTAAAGAAGGAAATGGAAAATGGAGAAATTGCGAAACAATAGGAACCATAACATCTATGTGTATCGTGCGAGATGGAGAATCGCAGCAAGACAATAAGGTGTGAGCTTCTGAAATGAATTAAAACCCTAAAAAAATTACAACATACACACGTACAGAGAAAAGAGAGAGAGAGAGAGAGAGAGGATAAGAGATGAATTTGGAGTCTGTAATTGTAAGGCACCAAGGTACAGGAATCGTGATTCCGTGCAGCTGCTTTTTTTTATTAAAAAACAAATTCATAAATTTCACGTGATTTACTTTATTTATCTGGTTACACCCTTATACTTTTTTCTTATCAATTATTTTTTTTTATGATTTTTTAGTCTAAGTTTACCTTTATCATTGTTAGTGATTTAACAAATTTATCTATTTTATCTCTATTTTATTTGTATATAAAGTTGCTAACTAATCTGATATAAAGATTTTGATTTTTTTTTTAATGTAAAACTAAAAAATTCATTTTTAAAATAGTTCTTCTCGTAATTTTACCTTTAATGTCTGTCGTAAAAGTTATCTAATTTTATATAAGTCATGAATTAAGAAATATTTATAGAATAAAAATATGTTTAATATCTTATATTATAGGAAATAAAATTATTTTTTATATACATATAAAAGTAAGATTTAGTTTGATTCCAAAAAAAAAAAAAAAAGTAAGATTTAGTTTTTTTCATTTTAAATGATATAAGTTATGACATTTTAGGAGAGAGATAGACACAAAAAATAAAAATCATGGGATAGAAAAAGTGGGTGGTTTTTTAAATTTAAATTTTAAATAAAAAAATTATTTTGTGTCTATCTCTCTCTTAAAATGACATAACTTTATGTCATTTAAAATGACAAACATTTTTTTCATAAAAGTATATAGAAACCATTTTTTTTTCCTTTTCTTTTCATATGATCCCATATGTGCTCTATTTTTAATTTTTTATATGTATATAAGATATAATTTATCTCTTATAATACGAGAACATCAAACCCAATAAAAATTTACCTTATCACTTGACGGTAGTCGAAGCTCATCAAAGTAAAAAAATTAAGCAGAAAATTAACCAATAAAAAGTAACATGGCAGAAGGGATTCAAATTAAGATTTAAAAAAATGAGTAAACACCCTTTTTAGTCTCTGGCAATATCTACAAAGTCCTTTTTAGTCCCTTGCAATAAAAAGGACCAAATTGGTCCCTGAAATTACAAAAAAGGACCATGTTAGTCCTTATGTGAACTCCACTGTCACGGTCAAACTGACGGTGCCCATGTGCCACGTTAGTGTGATGGCGGGGCTTGCACGAGGACCATTTTGGTCCCTGACAAAATGCACTGGGTCCATTTTGGTCCCTGACCACATAAAAATAGGACAAGACTTCGTTGAAATGTCTACATCTTGTGCTATGAATGCAAGAAAAGATTATCTTTTGGAATGGACCTCATATTGATCAATAACAGTGAATAGCTGGATATATTAAATCTAGAAGGACCCGATTCAAATTCTGTAGAACACTACCTCTTAATGGTATCAAAAAGTTTAATTATATATTTCAAACTTATGTTCACAATTTGTGAAATCTCATGCTCCAAAAGGTTTTTCATTGTTTCTAGGATTTTTCTTTTTCACAAGTCTTACTTCCAGCTCATTGTATCATGTGGCAGCTTGAACTATCTTTTTCACAAGTCTTATCTTGCAATGGTTCAGGTGCTAAACCAGGGACTACATCATCCAGATGTAGCACTTGTGGAGGTCAAGGTCGGGTTGTCACAGTCAATGACGTGCCTTATCTTGCAATGGTTCAGGTGCTAAACCAGGGACTACATCATCCAGATGTAGCACTTGTGGAGGTCAAGGTCGGGTTGTCACAGTCAATGACGTGCTCTTCATGTATTACAAGGTAGTCCCTGGTTCAAGCTGGAGGAGAAAGATAGTTCAAGCTGCCACATGATACAATGAGCTGGAAGTAAGACTTGTGAAAAAGAAAAATCCTAGAAACAATGAAAAACCTTTTGGAGCATGAGATTTCACAAATTGTGGACATAAGTTTGAAATATATAATTAAACTTTTTGATACCATTAAGAGAGGTAGTGTTCTACAGAATTTGAATCGGGTCCTTCTAGATTTAATATGTCCAGCTATTCACTGTTATTGATCAATATCAGGTCCATTCCAAAAGATAATCTTTTCTTGCATTCATAGCACAAGATGTAGACATTTCAACGAAGTCTTGTCCTATTTTTATGTGGTCAGGGACCAAAATGGGCCCCGTGCATTTTGTCAGGGACCAAAATGGTCCTCGTGCAAGCCCCGCCATCACACTAACGTGGCACATGGGCACCGTCAGTTTGACCGTGACAATGGAGTTCACATAAGGACTAACATGGTCCTTTTTTGTAATTTCAGGGACCAATTTGGTCCTTTTTTATTGCAAGGGACTAAAAAGAACTTCGTAGATATTGCCAGGGACTAAAAAAGGTGATTACTCTTAAAAAATTAATGTGCCGTCAAAATCATTTTTGCTGCAAGTCTCCATATATCAACCATTTAAATTTCAATATAACACCCATAAAAATTGATAAGCATACGAGTATTTATGAATATCCTAGTAATCCACAATAGCCGTTTTATCTAGTGAATTATATAAAAAAAGGAAGGACATTATCATCAAAGTCAATTTGTTGCTTGTGACAAAGATATATATATATAATTAATTAGCAATTTGTATGCAAGTAAAATAAGGATAAAATTGACAAGTTAATTTAATTATTAATTGTGTTAAACCTGGATTTTGATGGGAAAAATCACAGGAGGTAATTGATAAAATAAATAAATAAGTGTATAAGTGATAAAAGAGTAATCACATTAAAATTTATGAATTTTTTCTCTTCTTCTTTTTGGACCCATCACATGTTGTGTCTATAATCTCCTGTTACAGGAGACTCGAATTTCCCAAAAAAACACAACTCTCCTGTTTCATTTTAGTGAAGCATTCGATTGAAGATAATTAAAAATATCTTCATTTTATAGAATAAGAATGGCAATCTTATTTATCAAGAACACCTCTTTATTTATAAAATAATTAATTATGTTAAGAATAAGAATTCAATACCTTAAAAACATGCTTTAGGATAAAATTTATGTCTCTAAGGTAGTGTTTGGCTCGCGAGAAAAATTTTTTTACAAGGGAAATGTAATTACAAGGAAAAAGGTTGGAAAATAAGTTTGGTAGGAAAGTTGAAAAAAAGTTATTTGGTATCGCAAAATATTACTGGAAAAATTAGGTTAAATATCCTGATGTATGTTTGGTTGAAAATAAAATTTTGATGGGAAAAAGAATGAAAATTACGAAAAGGGGTAGATACTTTGCTCACATGTGGTTAAGAAGAGGGGTAAACTTGTCACTGTTTCCATCCCCTTTTTTCATTTATCCAATTTTCACACAAAATACCACATTGGAAGACGACTTCATGAAGAGTGCATTATTACCTTTTATACATTCATTTCTCAATTGCTAGACAATGGTATTTGGTGGGTAAATCTCATGAATCCTTCAACCAAACATGGACAAATGGCAAACCCCCGTACACTTTGCTGGGAAAATTTTGAAAACTCCCCAAGCAAACACTACTTAAGTAATTGGATGGTAATGATGCCTTCTCACTAGACACATTCTCTGCAAATAGAGTGAACAAAGGGAGAAAATTAAGACACTATTGATTATATTTCCAAATTTAAGATAATATTGGGTGTAGAAACAACACCTCTCTTGGTCCCAATGCCTGCATGCAGTGGCAGAGCCAGAAAATTGTATTTGTGTGTGTATATTTAGTGGTGCCCCAAATTTTTTTTTAATAAAAATTTAAAATATATTAAAAAAACAAAAAAAAATAAATAAAAAAATATTCAACTTAACATAAAAAATAATAATAATCAAGAGTCAAATAAGTTATTACAATAAAATGATTATATTCAATGTAAGTTTAATTTTTTAAGCCTAGAAAAGCTTAAGTTATTATTTAATAATATATTATTATTTTATTTTAAAAAAATTAATTTATATATTACTAAATGAATTGTGAATCCATGTGAGAGATATACCTGTTTTGCAACAAAGTCTTCCGGTTCTGCAACAATTAGGATATGAATGTTGGTCGCCACCAAGAACAGGTCTCTTAAGATCGACGTATTTGTCAGACTCTCCGAGATCATTATACCCATCTTAATTGTATATCCTCTCAAAGCTCTTACGTTCACCTTGTTCATTGCCACACAAATGTTCTGGTTCCTCTTCAATCCTTCCAGTGTTGCTGATGGCAAACAAGACTCTGTCCGCACTATAAATCATCATTTTCATCCATCGAAAGAAAAAAATAAAATTAATGTTTGCAATTGCAGACATCAACACATATATAAGTCTGTCGCTTGCATGATATGAATTTGTAAGTACAAATTACAATGGAGGTACATGAATATTTATTATTCTTCTGGGTTGACTTATTTCATTATAATTGAGTTATTGATAAATGGATCGTGCATAGTTAAATTTAGGGTAATACCGGATTTAATTCTATGTTCTATCTTGTTTTAATTAAGTTGTAATGCTTCTTCCCATGCACCGGTATCCTACAATAAATATGTGATTTATCTTGGATTACTAAATGGCTAAATGTTTTGGGATGGTCAGCACTATTTGAGTATTTGTTAATCTCATAAAAAAATTTATTCATATCGAGTTAGCCTACTGTGATTTATTGGTCGAGGGTGTTACACATTCTCTATGATGACAATAGAAATGGATCCTTTCATATGTAATTTAACATGATTATGTCATGTGAGAGGATCTTAACCATTAATAATTAAATCAACAGTGATGATTGTGTAATTCTCTATCTTTATATTTTTTTATCTCCTCCCTTATCACCATTAATTCACCCATGTATGGTTATGATTGCCCCACATGACATGGTCATGTTAATTAGCACATGAGAGGATTCACTCCCGATGACAATAGTACATTTGTACTACATGTTTCAATTTAACAAACCCAAGACTTATAAATGTTACTCCATGGCGACATTTAGGGAGTGTTTGGTAAGAGAGTTTTTTTTTTGGGTGTTTAGAAAAGTTGAGATAGGTTTTTTAATTGACCATGTTTGGTTGGAGGTTTTAAAAATTTGCTCATTATTTCAGATTTGCATAGCAATCTCAATTTATGTGTGTAAAATTGAAAAAATTTGTCATTTCAGAATACCTCGTTACCCATAAAACCAAAAAGTAAAAATAAAATAATGGACACAAATATTCCTTCTCAAAAAATATGTCAAAAGAAAGCTGCAGCGTACTTCTCCTGTTCGAATCGGAGTTTGAAACCAAACTTCTCCTCAGGAAGATAGATGGGGCGATTCAGGTGAGATCCAATTTAAATCCAACTTTCTATTCACTCGTGGGATCTGGGCGGTCCGGGAGGGACCACCGCGGCTCCTCTCTTCTCGAGAATTTGAGTTTTCTTTGTATTTAGTCAAGGGTTAATTTGGTAATTTTATCCCATTTTTCTATCAATATTTTATCTTCAACCAAACATAGACTCAAAATTTTTAACCCAATTTTCCTTGTAATATTTCGGCCTACCAAATAACTTTTTTTTTAACTTTTCTACCAAACTTACTTTTGCACCATATTATTAATAATTGTATTTTCTTGGTAAAAAAAAAAATTTCTTCTCTACCAAGCGTCCTCTTAAGCGAAAGAAGGGCCACAACAATTTTTTATTTTTATCTATCACATATAGCAATTATAATAGTAAAAAATGAAACTAATTTTTATATTGTTCTGAGAGCGGAAATCCATCAATAAGAGAGAAAATCATTTTCTACACTTAAAAAAAAAAATAGCGAAATATTCCAATTCAGCTTAACTCATCTAAAATAAAAAAAATAAATTTGTTTTTGGTGTATATTGTAAAGCATCAATTTAACCCAAAAGCTTAAGCTATTGGGTAAGGTTATATTAATAATTTTTATATTTCTCTAACACGTTCCTCGTACCAAAGCATACTGAGCTTGAAGGATAGAAAATTCACAAGTATATTTACTTGTGCTAAAAACCTCTAAAAGATTTAATTAATTATTAATTAAATAAAAGACGGTGAGGATCGAACTCGTGACCACTTGACACAAAAGCTCTAATACCATATAAAATCAATTTAACCCAAAAATTTAAGTAATTGGATCAGACTACATTACTGATTTTTATATTTCTTTCACACATAAAAATTAAATTGAGCCTAAAAGAAGTGCAATACTCCTTTAATAAACACGTAAACTAGTTTTACTCTCCTTGCTCATATATATGTGTGCGCGTACACACGCATATATATATATATATATATATATATATATATATATATATATATATATATTTATATATAGGCTTAACATTTCTGCAGCAGCCGTAGATAATGTTATCTACAGCTGACACAGAAAAATGGGCCCCACGACTTTTGAAAAAAAAAAAAACTCAAGATCCGTTGCCGTATCCTAGGATCCAGACGCGGATCCTTGCTTGTTGTAGGTACAGCAGCTGCAGAAACCATTTTGCCTTTATATATATATATATGAGGTAGGATCATTTGACACCGGTGTCAAATTTGAAGTTTGACACCTCATCTGAGAACCGTTAGATCAAAAAAGATCAATGGTGTCACATGCTTGCAAATCAGAGTCGTTGATCTTTTTCGATCTAACGGCTCTCAGATGAGGTGTCAAAATTAAAATTTGACACCGGTGTCAAAGGATCCTACCTATATATATATATATATATATATATATATATATATATATATATATATATAAAAGAGCAATTTTTAAATTAACATCCCATTATCAACATTTTCAAGTTCTTTTAATAAAATAATTATGCTCTTTATTCAAAAATAAGTTATTTCATTCTGAAAATGTTATTCAATGAAAGTTTTAAAAAACAAATACTGCTTTAGGTTAGACACTGAACCATAATTTTCCCATTTAATCAAGAGAAATAATACTCTCATGCCACATGAGATACTCCTATTTTCCTACACAAATTCGTTTTCCGTGCCAATTAATTTTTCTTTTCTTTTTTAATATAAAATATGAGACCCACATTTAACTTCTCTTTACTTTTTTTCTCTCCTACAATCCTACAACATAAGAAAAGTTAAACCCTTTAATCAATCAATATCACGGAAAAGCGTTCTCTTAACAGTAAGTAGCTCTTGGAAACAAAAGAATATCTATGCTTTCATTCAATCACGGATTCACTTTAAAATGAATACAAATCAGCAAAAATGGTGGGAAGGATAACATGCAGTGTCCCGGACTAACATCCATATGAAGGCTATGCAACTAAAATTACAGTATATATGCAATATGCATTACTGCAAGAGGCCCGGGGTTTTCCATTGGTCAAAATGCTGCTAAATCTTATTTCCTTCACTATAAAAAGAACTGAATCAAAACAATACAAAAAAAACAAAAAATGTATTGGATATAAAATTGGCTAACAATGAAAACCAAACTAAGCACTGTTATCCTTTTTAGTTAAAGTTTCACCCATCATCTGCATTCTGGCTAGGGGGACTACCAGCAAGCCAACCCCATACACCTGAACCTTGCCTATGTTTTGCATTTAAGACAGCCTGCTCAGATGCAGCTTTTTGCCGCTGGAGGAGTTCAAGTTCCTTCTGTAGTGTCCCAATTGTTTGGAGCTTCTGTCCTAATTCAGCAACCTCCACCTGTGATCCCAAATACTCTCTTCAGTAAGAAAATTCAAAAAATTTAGTCCATAAGAAAAAGGAGACAAACGCCAAACTTTTAGGCGGCCTCCACAGACAAACTAGACTAAAGAGGGAACTTCCTAGAATGATTTCTATGAGATTCTCTCAGGTAAACATGCTTCACTAGGTCATCCCGACACCAAACTGATCATAGAGTAACACTATTTTTGTGTGATTGGGAGTTAAAAAATCAAGCACTTTATGCAAAGAATGGAAAATTTTGAAATTTAAATTCTTGATCACATGGACGACTTGTTACTCCATGGATAGTTTAGTACATGGATGACATGGCGCACCGTGTTTCCACAATAACTTTTCTTCACTCAGCTACATTTAGGAAATAAAAACTACATCGGTGATGGAACATGGATCACTTCATTCCAATGACTATACCAGATAATTATCCAACTAGGCAAGTAGTTACCTGCAGCCTGCAGGTGAGTGGGGACTCAATTCACTCCAAGCAACCAACTATAATTTCAAAACCATTCCTCACCCTCAACCCTGGCCTGAAAAGGCAAGAGGGGGAGCATTCCATTTTTAATTTAGGTGACTAAGTTTTGTGATTTCATCATGGCTTTTTCTCTAACAATACATCATATTCAGAGTTGGACCCACCGGTGAGATCAGGGCATGCATTTTAGACATTGTGCGCTTTCACTTGTCAATGTCATAATAATAAATGTTCAAAAACAATTTCTCATGATGACCCAGAGAGGAAGGCTGTCAGAAGCAAAAATGCTTACCTCAAGTTTGAAACACCTCGACTGCTCAGCAGCAAGCTGACCACGTACTGATTGGAGCTCCTGCATTATCAGTGCGATAAAAATGAGGACATCTTGATACCATTTAGAACAATGAATAATATTCAAATTTTGTTTACAGATCTCATTCTGCTTCTATTTATTACTAATATATTAATAGAAACACTTTATTTTTATCATATAACCCCCCCCCCCCCTTTTTTCTCTCCCCCCAAAAAAAAATGAAAAGAAATGAATGTATGGGAATTTTTCACAAGTAACTAGTCCTTGTTGGCACTAAATTTAAAAAAGGAAGTGGCCATGTCATGGTGAAATTATTTGATTTTAACAGCATCAGTTACCAATACTACCTACCCATGCACTATGTTCAATATGTGCCCATAACATAATAGCCCGTTTCAACTGTTTCCAAAATGAAATAGGAACTTCCAATATTAAAGTAGTTACCTTGCAAAGGTCAGAGTTACGATTTTCAGCTTCTCCCAGCTCTTGCTTTAGTTGAAGAGTACGCAACTTCTCCTTGCTGAGTGATAATTCCAATTCATCTTTCTCAGCTTTCAGGACTGTTAAAAGATCACCTTTCAATTTCTGTAAGATAGCCGAAAATCAAAATGTGAAAGTGGCACAAGAATTATAATGAAATGCACCAAATGCAGAATGTGATCTATGCCTATAATTTTCAGACAGAATTTGCATTTTTGAGGAGTGAAATAAGTATCCACTATCTACAAATTAATGTATAGTGTATCCGTTTGGTTTGGAGTTTCTTATGAGCTTCCAAACGATTTTTCATTATTATTTTTGCTTTGTCTTAAGAACAGCAATAAGTAAAATATCACTAACTGGCCCAATAACATAAGTCAGACGTGCTACTCTATGTTTGTCAAAGTTAAAAAAGGACATGCTTTGCAATAATACATACTGTTGAACCAACATTGTCCACACCAAGTTCCCTAATTTTCCCTTGATGGCCTGCTTCAAATTCAGACTCCACATCTCGGGTAGCATTTGTGGTATTGTGCACAGCAGCAACACTGTCTGGTATGGGATTTTCAATTATTTTTGATTGCAAGGTTGATTTGTGGCTTGGTTTAAGGACATAGACCTGAATGCAGGAAACTATATCAGGCGAGGGGAACAATAAAACAAAAGCAAAAGAAAACAGAAAAGGCGCAATCACCTCATTGTTGTAACGTCCATTGTATCCTCCAAATGATACAAGTACGTCTTCACCATCATATGAGCTTACAACCAAACTCAAGCCCTGCAATGGGAAACATTTTAATAACTTGAGCAGATGGCACTAGAAAATTATGTGAAAGGTCTGGGTATCTTATCTGATAACAGCATGGAGTTAACAACGGTCAGAACTCCAGTTAGACTTTAGAGCACATGCAACCAGTAAAATTTACATTTAATAAAAGGGAGAACTCCAAAAACAGTAACTCTATATAAAAATTATTAACCACCAAGGGACAATAACCACTCAAGTGGTTATTTAAGCCAATATATTATACATAATAGCCACATCAAGTGGTTATTTTTCCATCATTGTTAATATTTTTAATAAGAGTTTGTTATTTGAAATTTCCCCATGACAAAAGTTCCATAAAAAATTACAATTACCTCACTAGCAACAGGAACACGCCCTTGAACAGAAGTTACCCGCGACCAAGTCAGTGTAGACATATTCAACACAACAGTCTCCGAGACCCCTGCAGAATAGCATGGAATGTAACTTCTGAGACGCAGGGAGACCAAAGAATTGGGGGGGGGGAGGCAATGATGTGCGTCTAGCATATGATGTTTTCTAACTTGAAAGAAGCAAGGAATTAATCATAAATGAGTGAAAATAGTCATTAAATGCAAGAAATATTGATTATTCCTTCTCAATCATGTTCTCACTCAAGTTATATGTTTAAATAGCAGGAAACACCGCAAAAAGGAGCAAAAACGGAGAAACCAAATTTCCCGCTGGCGCACGACGCTCGGAGGTTGGCGCACGGAGCTTCAAACTGGCGCACGAGGCTCGGTACCTGGCGCACGGGGCGCCTTAGCGACGATTTGCTTCTGTTTCGGCCGCGCATGGAGCGCGGGAGGTGGCGCACGACGCTCCAAACTGGCGCCCAGCGCGCGGGAGTTGGCGCACGGCGCGCGGGACTGGTGCACGGCACTCCAGAGTTGGCGCCCGGGGCGCGGTTGACAGATTCAGCTTCTGTTTCTCCCAAGTTTGGGGCGCCAGGCTCGGCGCCCCGTGCGTGGGCGATATATTTTTAAGTGCGAATCAGCTAAAATAAGGCCCAATGGGAGTGCAAGTGAAAAGAGGTTTTCCCAAAACCTAATAAAAGGATCAGAAACAAAGGGAGAAGCACTTTTTGACAACGAAGAAGAGAAAGACAACAAGGAGAGTGGGAATTCCTTAGAGCTTCTCGGAGATTCAAGGATTCGATCGATCAAGACGGAAGATCTTCATCTTCCCTTTCTCTTCTAGGTTTTAAATGCTACTTTATTTTATTGTTATTTTGTCAGACATGAACATGTCTGGCTAGTTCTATCATTGTGGTAAGGGTCACAACCCTTGATGTGAACACCTTGTACCTTGGTTGAATTTTATGTTTATCTATTTTAATTGCATTTATCTTTTCTTGTTCTTCATTCTATAATTCTATTGGAACTGATCAATCTAGTAGGATTGCGAGGGTTAGGGTTTACAATAGGGATGTTGGAATTCTAATTCCTGACAAAGAATAAGATAACTGTTCATGTACGCACTAGGGATAGGCTATATGAACCGCGAACGTTAAAGATTCATTGATTTTAAGGGTTAACTCGAAAAGGGATTTCTAGGGGATTAGGATTCTAATAGAGTTGACAAGGTTAAGATCACTAAGGGATTAGGGCTTAACTAATCATATAAAAGATGATGAATTGTTCGATCAATTGAATAGGTAAATGTAAACGTAATCCAAGTTGCAAGGTGGGGATCGGAAAGGTGTTTGTTTCTCTTACCGCAATATTTTCTCAAATATTTTCCCAATCCTTAATCTTTTGTTCTTGCATTCTGAAAACACTTTTGGAATCATTTACATTTTTACTTTAATTATTTTAGTTTGTTTCATGAACTACAATCATTCTCAACCTATTTTGATTAATCCAACAAGAGAGGAATAGTTATAACAACTTAGGTGCCTCAATCCTCGTGGAGACGATACTCTACTCACTCTTTATTACTTGGTACGATCGGTGCACTTGCCGATTATACGCATCAAGTTTTTGGCGCCGATGCCGGAGATTGACTACGCCAAGTTATTTATAACTTTTGATTTTCTTGCTTGGATCTTTGTGTTACTAATCTGTTTGCTTTAGTTTATGCGTGGTACAGTTGATCTTGCAACTTTGATTTACGATCCAGAGATAGAAAGGACTGCAAAGAGGATAAGACAACATACCAAGCAGAAGAGGCAAGCAGAGGCTTCTACTTCACATTCTGAAGCAGAAAATTCTACTCCACACTTTGAAGTAGAAACGGAGATGGCAGAAGAAAATCCACCAGCAGCTGAGCTGATGGAATCAGTTTTGGCTCTTCAATTCACAAGGCCAAACTCGAGTATTGTCAAACCACCGATTGCTGCTAATAATTATGACATCCAGCCAGCACTCATCACCTTGGTGGAGAAAACTCAGTTTGGTGGAGAGGACTATGAAGATCCTCATGACTTCATAGACAGATTTTTAAGGATCTGTGATACAACTAAACACAACGGAGTGTCAGACGATGCGATCAGACTCCGATTGTTCCCGTTTGCATTGACCGGGAGAGCTCTCAAATGGTTGGATCGACAAGCTCCCAACAGCATCAGAACATGGGAGGATTTGGCGGCTAAATTTTTTGCTGAACACTTTTCCATGGAAAAGTACAATAAGTTGGTGAATGAAATCACCAATTTTACCCAACAACCAGGAGAGACTTTATGTGCAGCCTGGACTCGATACCAGGAGTTGATCAGAAAGTGTCCACAATATGACTTGCCAGATACAAAGAAGGTCAGAGTCTTCTATAATGGGATGACGCCAGAATGCAGAATGATTGTCAATGGTGCAGCTGGTGGCACCATAGGAAAGAAGACAGCAGATGAGACCTTAGAGCTGCTGGATTTAATGGCAAGGAATGAGAATGCGTCTATGGCAGCAGCATTCCCATCTGTTCAGCCCAAGAAAGGAATTTTACAATTGGGGAATAATGATGCATCACTAGCTGAGCACAAAGTGATTTCCCAGCAATTGGCCAATTTGAATGCCAAGCTGGACAAGATGCAGCTCTCAACATCCAAGGTTGATATATTTAACTGTGAGTATTGCAAGGAGCCGCATGACACTAATGAGTGCCCTACACTTAATAAAGCTGAACTATTCCAGGTCAATGGAATTTGGTATGATCCACGGCCTCCCCAGAATACTCAAGGTTACCCAAGAAATCAGAATGGCGGTCAAGGGAATAACTTTCGAAGGAGGAACCAAGGGAGTGGCTTGGATTATAAATCCAACAACTATCTGCAACCTCCTCCTCTGCCACAAAAAGAGCCATCTGAGTTAGAGAAAGCAATGATACAACTGTCCAAGACAACTAATGATCACATTAATGAGACAAGAGCCTACCTCAAGAACCAGGATGCTTCCATCCGGAACTTGGAGAGTCAGATAGGCCAGTTGTCTAGGCAGTTGGCTGAAAGAACTCAAGGGCAGTTTCCTGGAGATACTATTGTGAATCCTAAGGAAGACTGCAAATCTATTGTAACCAGGAGTGGAATTGTGATCACTCCTCAAGACAAGCAAAAAGGGGTTCAGAAAGCGAAGGTTGATGAACCAGTGATCGAGCCAGAACAAGAAAAGGAGGTAGACACGCTTGCAACTGAGAAAGAAGAACCTGCAAGGCAGGACAAAGGGGGGGAAAAAGAGAAAGTTGTTGAAGCTCTGAAGCAACCAATGGATTTCTCTCGTTTTGAGAAACCTCCTTATCCTATGAAGCTGAAGCAACAAGCACAGAAGCAACAATATGCCAGGTTTTTAAATATGTTTAAAAAGTTGCAAGTAAATATTCCTTTTGCTGAAGCTTTAGCTAACATGCCTAATTATGCTAAATTTATGAAAGATTTATTGTCTAGAAAGCATAAGTTGCAGGAATGTGAGACAGTAGCACTCACTGAGGAGTGCAGTGCCATTATACAGAAGAAGTTTCCACCAAAGCTTCGCGATCCTGGGAGTTTCAATATCCCGATTGCGATAGGCAACACCAATGTTGGCCGAGCACTATGCGATCTTGGAGCAAGCATCAATCTGATGCCATTGTCAATTTGCAAATCATTGGGAATTTCTGAATTGAAGCCCACTATGGTCTCTCTACAGCTTGCTGACCGTTCTTTGAGGAGACCTAATGGAATCATAGAAGATGTTCTTGTTAAAGTTGACAAGTTCATCTTCCCTGCTGATTTTATTGTGCTAGACATGGAGGAAGAAAGTGAAATACCCCTTCTATTAGGCAGACCATTCTTAGCCACAGCTCGGGCCATGATTGATGTCGAGCAAGGGAAGCTCGAGCTGAGGATGAACGATGAGAAAATCACCATCAATGTTTTTGATGCTATGAAAAACTCAATTGATCAGAATGATTGCTTCAGACTTGAAGTGTGTGAAGAAGAGCTTGAAGAAGAAGATCTTGATGATCAAGAGCTTAGAGAAGAGTTACAATCTCAGGATGAAGCCACTCCAACAGAAGAGCGAGATGTTGTGTTTGAAGTGCTAGAAAAGAACGAAAATGACTCAGTTCATTTGGCACCTAAAACAGAATTGAAGGAGTTACCGGAGACTTTGAAATACGCTTTCTTGGGAGATGAAGAGCAGTACCCTGTCATCATAAATAAAGCTTTGTCTACAGATAAAGAGGATAAGTTGCTAGAGGTGCTCAAAAGGCACAAGAAAGCCATTGGGTGGTCTTTGTCTGACTTGAAGGGCATCAACCCTTCTTTTTGTACTCACAAGATTCTCATGGAAGATAATGTCAAACCAGTGAGACAGCCTCAGAGGAGACTAAACCCCACCATGAAGGAAGTAGTCCGCAAGGAAGTGATGAAGCTCATGGATGCTGGGATGATTTACCCAATTTCTGACACTGCATGGGTGAGTCCAGTACAGACGGTTCCAAAGAAAGGAGGAGTAACTGTTGTGAAAAATGAGCAGAATGAGTTAATCCCCACCAGAACCATTACTGGGTGGAGGATGTGTGTAGACTACAGGAGACTGAACGATGCTACAAGGAAGGATCATTTTCCTCTTCCTTTCATTGACCAAATGCTAGAGAGGTTAGCCGGGCATGATTTTTATTGCTTCTTAGATGGTTATTCCGGCTACAATCAAATTCCAGTGGCACCAGAGGATCAAGAGAAAACTGCTTTCACATGCCCGTTCGGAGTTTTTGCTTACAGAAGAATGCCATTCGGCCTCTGCAATGCACCTGCAACATTTCAAAGGTGTATGCTTTCTATCTTCTCTGATATGGTAGAAAAATGTTTAGAGGTATTTATGGATGATTTCTCTGTTTTTGGTTCTTGCTTTGATTCATGCTTAGTTAACTTAGCTAAGGTTCTGAAAAGATGTCAAGAAACTAGTTTGGTTTTAAATTGGGAAAAGTGTCACTTTATGGTGCGCGATGGTATAGTGT